TTCGTAAATATGGGTTTTCGATAAAACAGTATCACCTTAAGCATTTGCGTCGATTCGGTCAAAAATTTCTGTTCAAAACCCAAAATATGAGACAAACTTTTTGTTCATTATTTTTGCCAATTGCCAAAATTCGCAGAGCACTACTGAAATGAACTGATTCAATCAACTGCTACAACCAAAATGATTGAGAAATCTCTCTAATTTTTTGCATGCTAATTAAGAACAGTGTTATTTACATACAGAAACTTGAAATAGTTAAAAATGTTAGGTTTAGGTTATTCTTTTTAAATCAGAATTTCCGGGTACTCTGTTGTCAGAAGGTATATTTAAGTAAATTCTACCAAGGCGTTGAACTGAATATGAGCAGGAGATATGTGCAGAAAGTCGATTGTAGATGCAAATTTGAATAAATACTCGACGGAACGTCGCTTTTCTATCGTCACATGCATATATCAGGGCAATTTTCTAACGTGAACGCCGCAAATGTAACAATCTCTCAATTTACTTATCCCCCACATAATCTTTGAAGATGTTTACAAAGTTGTAGCGCTCGTGTTGACAATGGAGTTGATAAAGTATATGGACGTGTTGTTATGCTTCCTCGTATTCTATTTGGGCGTCCGTGAAACAATTTATCATAGACGCCATCTGCAGAGATATCCTTTTAATAAGAAACTGTATTATATATTTTAGCTGATGTATTACGACTCAGAGACATGACAGACAACGTTCAAACAGATTTAATCCGGAAAGTTCAAAAAAGCTCTAAGATCAAGCTCTAAGTCAAGTTAATCTCGAAAACCTGACTAGCTTTTATAAGTACCTACATTTAGGGATATATTTAATCACCTAAATTTACTATATTAATGGAGCATAAAATGTTTTTATATAGTTATAATCTGTCAATGCGAAGCTGCAAATAAACTTTAAAAAAGCCCTCTACTTAATAATAAACTTTGCTTGTAAACTTTCCGCAGGATTTTGCCGGATAACTTGATAAAGTCTTTGTTCCATTATCCTTGAAGAAAGAGGTTGGATAAGGCTTTCATTGTTGTCCGGCAAAGTTAAGTGCAAAGTATTGTTGTGGAAGATTCAGAATTCACTTTCAAATTCTCGAGTTGGATGGGAATGCTTTGTGAACCGTTTCATTAACTTTTCTAACATTTCGAGTCCGCTAAATTGTAATTCTTTTCAATTAAACTTCTCAATTATCTAAATTGACTTTTTTATATGCCGGTTAAGTAGGAGCGTTTTGTACGGCTTTTATAGAGAAAATGCAGTGAGAGAGTTTTGTTGTACCTTTTTCTCAATTAGAGAAAGTAGCGTCTTATAAGCGTTAATTGGAATCAGTCTCGCCTGCTTCCAAGGCAACCTTTATTTTCAATTGAGATAAGTAATTTATAATTGCATCTTTTATAACAATTTACTTCTACTAATTATAATAACAGCCTAATCTTACACCTAATTCATTATAAATATATTTTTTAACTTTGGTTCATTTCGTATGCAAAATTTTTTAAACAGGAAGCTAAAATTCCCTTAACAAAATCATAAAGCTTTCAGGAGAAGCTGAAAATTAAATATCAGATTTGCGAGAGAAAATTATCGGTGCCTAAATGTAGGAAACCCGGAAAACATTCATCACTCTCATAACGCGGGGAGTTGTATTTCTTATCCTATTAAATAATAATTAAGGTAGGCGAAGTGCTGTAAACTAAGCTACCTCAAGAACGGATTTTTTTGCCAGCTCGCCCTCATCAACGAAGGGAAAATTTGTACACGGAAGCTTGCGGGCTGCAAAGTTTTTGAGCCGAAACTTCGGCCCCTTTAATTTTGTTTCATTAACGTTTTTATTGTGTAATTTGGCGCAATACGTCGTGGGTGTATATTTCCATAAAGAAATTAAGTTTTGTTAAGGAAAAGAAATTGTTTGTTAAAATGTTCCAGGTAGTCTAAAATTAGATATTATTGTAAGAGGTATAATAATATTAAAGAGGTAACCATACAAAAAGTAAACAATATTGCTTAACAAAATAGGTTTAACTTGGAGAAATTTAAATAAAGTCAACACTGCGTGATTTAATGTAGGTGTTTAAGTTTCCAGCAAATACAGGATGTCCCGCATAAGATCCGACACAGAGCATAAAATAATGATATATCGTTGCTCCATTTCCGATTGCAACATAGTCATTTCTTTGAGTGGAACAAAGAAAGATTAATAAAATAACAGTTGTCAGAGTGAAAAGTTGCAATGACACAAATGTCATTTTTTTCTTTTCCTTTATAAGTGTCTAATGGAAGTTGTCTTTATCGCACCCATGGCCTATATAACCTATGTTGCGATCAAAAATGGATCAACCTGTATGTAATGATAACCTAACTTTAACTTACTACAGCCAACTTTTCAATTATCGGCTATTTTAAGTAACATTTATAACTTTATTTTTGCATTTTAAATCAAAACGACAAAGATTTTAAAAAACAAAAAGAATAAAAAAATCTTACAACAAAGAACATACCTATTAAATGAACTAATAATTTTTTAAATCATCCATCAATAAAAAAATCTGTAACATTTTAAGGGAGCATCGCGCGCATCCTTAATGAACCTTTTAACTTCTCAGGTATGTAACTTTGTATTAAGTTAAAGTTGGACTGAACAACATATTTTAGGCCCCTGCTCTTTGTCGTTTCTTATGTGGGACACCCTGTATTTAATAGACATAAATGGTAATTATTGCCTAATTTAATTGCTTCATTCTTGTTACCCATATTACCCCAAATTTTGGATAATACTTTCTTATGGGTCATACAGTGCATGCAAAGTATTGCAACAATTTAGCAATTTATTGCTGCAATATTGCATTGTAGTAACATACAAACATTCAAATGCATAACAGTGGTTAGAGTAAGAAAGTTGCAACCCCACAATATCACTCTTTATTTTTCTTTACATACAGGGTGTTTCATTGGGAAAGGGCAATATTTTAACCCTGTATAGAGGTCACCCAGGGGATTACAAAAAACCCATATACTATGGGTCTTGCGTCCTTTATAACCGAGTTACAGGGTGTTTTTTGAATTTGGCCCATTTCTTTCGACACCTATAACTTTTGAACCACTCAGTATATTTTTTTGATATTTGGCATAGATATTCTATACCTTTAGGACAATTTATTGCCGCATTAAAAAATTACAAAATCCAGGTCCGGATTTAGAAAAATTAATAAAATTTGACCGACCCTAAAACAACACCCTATACATCATATTTTTAAAAATTGAATTTCAAATTCAGAAAGAGCATAAAAAACTGAATGTATTCATCAACTTTTTATTTTCCCGCATGCCGTTTTTCTACCAAAATTTAAACGTTAAAATGTACATTATGAGATTTTTGGTCCATGTAAATGGTAATTGAAGGGATTTTAATTATTTTTTCTTTAATAAAACCAGATTTACTTAACACTTTCATGAAAATTCTTGAAATAGACCTATTGAACTTGAATTAACATTCACATAAACCAATAAAAATTACAATTACAGATCCGCACTTAATAAAATTTAATGTTAATAAATTTTAAGTTAATAAAATTAAAATGATTTCATTTCATTTAATAATTAATCATTGATTATTTAATTTTTACATTTCTACATGAGAAAATTCACAACTTAACTAAGTAATTTACTAGATGTTTCAAAAAAGATACTAGAATAAGTATTCTTTTCCACACCACCAAGAGGTAGAACACAAGGCGCGTTTTTCTAATGAGGTATCCCCAAAAGGCCTAATCCACACGAACTGGCAAAATAAAACAATGAATAAAAAATATGAAAAATAAACAAAAAAATTAACAAAAAACAACTCTTTAACCAAATAATTAATATCTACTAATTTAATACTAATTATAAATAACAAAATGATAACTAACAAACTAACAACAAAAAACACCAGAAAAAAAGTCATTTTAACAATTTCTCAAAATGTTCTCCATTTTGTTTGATACATAATCTAGCTCTCCTAATCAAGTTGCAAATAAATCTTCTAAGAACATTGGGATTGTTTTATAATTCTTTAAAAGTGCTTACTAGGTAAATGTGTTTTATCTCTTGGTGGTGTTAAAAAGAGTACTTTTAGTATCTTTTGTAAAGAAGCTAATAAATTACATAGTTAAGTTTTGAATTTTCTCACGTAGAAATGTAAACATTGATTAATCAATGATTAATTATTAAATGAATTGAAATCATTTTAATTTTATTAAGTGCGGATCTGTAATTGTAATTTTTATTGGTTTATGTGAATGTTAATTCAAGTTCAATAGGTCTATTTCGAGAATTTTCATGAAAGTGTTAAGTAAATCTGGTTTTATTAAAGAAAAAATAATTAAAATCCCTGGGCCAGAAATGGGCCAAATTCAAAAAACACCCTGTAACTCGGTTATAAAGGACGCAAGACCCATAGTATATGGGTTTTTTGTAATCCCCTGGGTGACCTCTATACAGGGTTAAAATATTGCCCTTTCCCAATGAAACACCCTGTATATGAGACTAATGGAAGTTATCTTTGTTGCTCCCAATGACCAGTCATTGCATTTATAATAATACCTTAAAGTTTTCATTGGTTCAAACACTATCTGTAACTTAAATGTGGAATTATGAAATTGAAATCAATATCAGAAACTTTTTTTTGTTGTTATTTTTTGTGCTTCCACATCAGCTATCCCTGTTGATCTGTGAGAACCAAATCAAAATGACTGAATTTAAAGAGAATAAAAAAAATACTTTACTTATCATGCTTTATTAAATATGATTCAGAAAAAGAATCCAGAATTACAAATTAAAAACTTGGAAATTTTACCATTTTCTTCGAAGTCTAGCCACCTATTGGATAATATTCGAATTATTCCCAGAATCGATTCCATTCGATTCCAACTGTCATTGCCATGTGTCGCTGTCACCACTGTCACTCACAGAACATACATAATCTGTCACTTTGTACTGTCACTGTCATATTTCACAATTTTCCCATCATAATAACAAAAGGAAGGATAAAGTAAACGAAAGAAAGTTGCAAAAATCAGACATGGAAGCTTGCACAGCTGTAGAAAAAGAAATTGATAAAGTCTGCTCGAAGTTTGGCAACATAAACGACCATGCCAAAAGGGTTCTATCAGATTTGGTTAAGCAAATGCAAAACTTGAAAGACGAGTACGAAAATAGTAAGTAACGAATTGCACTAGTTTACCATCAAACAAAGAAAACAATCCGTCTTTTAGGTGATAGCGAACACGTTTTAACCGACATACAAATAGATATATTGAAACAAAATATGTTCAAAATCAAAGAGACGATATCAAAATTAGCTTCGGACCACCGAGATCTCCATGGCACCGTTTCGAAAGTAGGCAAGGCCATCGATAGAAATTTCATTTCCGATTTCGCGGCCACCACTCGCGAGGAAATCTTCAACATGCCAGAAAAAGTGAATCTAATCAACAAAGTCATATGCGAGCATTTCTACAGGCAAGGCCTACACGACGTAGCCGACGAGCTAGCCAGAGAAAGCGATCTAACGCCGGAGCCCCACGAAAAGGAACCCTTCACGGAAATCAATCACATCCTAGAAAGCCTCAAAGTAAAAGACTTAGAGCCCGCCTTAGCTTGGGCCACTGTTCACCACGACAGCTTAGAAGCTCAAAATTCTTCTCTAGAATTCATGTTACATAGGTTAAAGTTCATCGAAGTTTTGCGCAAAGGATCCACGCATCAAACCGATGCTATTTGTTACGCGAGATTGCATTTTAGGAAATTCGTTCATCGACATGAAAAAGGTACCGCAATAAATTTAGATAACGCTATCAACATGCATGCAATGTTTCTAACGAGTCGAAGCTTCTTCGTGACCTTCTCATATCTCTTATTGATACTGTCCTCGTTATCTTGTTTGCAGAAATCCAAACGTTGATGGGAATGTTGCTGTACGTCCCGAACGGCATAAACAGTTCACCATATAGTTGCCTTCTAGATTCGGAATTGTGGATAGAAATATCCGAGTTATTTTTGCGCGAAGCTTGCCAATTGCTGGGCGTTTGTGTGAATAGTCCGTTGACCACGTGCGTAAATGCCGGATGCACTGCCATACCAGCCTTGCTCAATATAAAACAAGTAATGATGCAGAGGCAAGTCAGTGGAATTTGGAACGGAAAGGATGAGTTGCCTGTAAGTTTTTTTTTTTATTCGACTCTCTTAATGGGTGTCGATCTGGTACGCAGTCTACCTCATCTGGTTTAGTACACAGAAAGAGTATTATGTAGACTGAGAATACTGTGGTAGACCCATACTAGACCGGTACCTTTTAATAAATAATATTTTATTAGTGTGTGGTATGGGAATGAAATTCAATAATTAGGTCTATTTTTAGATTGAAATCGATTTAGGAAACGAAAATAAATATCATTCGATGTTTGCCTGTCCGATTTTAAGGCAGCAATCGACTATATTTAATCCACCGATGAGATTAATATGCGGACATGTCATATCGAGAGATGCATTGAATAAGCTTTGTAGTGGAAACAAGTACGTTCTATTTTTTGGTTATTTATACAAGGTGTCCCGCATAAGAACCCACACAGAGTAGGTGGAATGTTAGGGAGCCCTAAATATGTTGTTTAATCAAACTTTAGTTAATACAAAGTCACATTCCTGAGAAGTTATAGGCCTTCAAAGTGGAGTTACAAAAAAATTAATATCTCAGTAGTACTATAACTTAAAACAATTAAATTTGGTATACGTTATGAGTGTACTAAGAGCTGCTAATTAGTTAGGAGAGATCTATTTTAAAGGGTTCATCAATAATGTTACAGATTTTTTACCGGATTGATGTTACAATGTTACTTAAAATCGTCTGTAATTTAAAAGTTGGCTATACTAACTTAAAGTTGGGTTAAACAACATATTTTAGACTCCCCTACATTCCCCTGCTCAGTTGTGTTTCTTAATAGGAACACCCTGTATTTAATTTTTATGTATTTATTTACATTGTACGCCTTCGTCTCTCCAATTGAAAATGTTTTATTTTAGATTTCAATTGACTTTTTTTAGGATGAAATGCCCTTACTGCCCCGTGGAACAGACTCCATCAGAAGCAAGACTAATATATTTTTAATTCTCTACTGATATATTATGTTGAAAATGCAATAATTTTTCTCAAAATGCTAAACTAATCATTTTTATACAGTTTTAGTGTTGTGAAGTATATTAGTTTGTAGAATTGTTATAATTAATTGATTATTTTGAATTTATTTGTGATCCTTATAAGTTGATGCTGAATAAAATCCATTTATTTATTATTTACGAAAACTTTTTTACTACAAAATGTTCCGCACAATTCCATACATTATTAAATTTATCGTTTGCTAACAAACGAATAATTTTCTGAAACAGTCTGTGTCAACACGTCATTTATTATGTTATAAACTTCAATATTTACTCTACTTTTTGATTAGGTCAATTTGCCAGTTTTTTATTCTACTAGAATTCGTTATACCACGTTAAAATGGCGGAGAGTTCGACGATTTTAACTCTAACGCAGCTGTGCGACTTGGCATTGAGCACAACAGACGTCGGAGTGGTGAATTTCAACATACTAAGGGGTCTCCTGCAGGTGATGATCAAGCAAATGGGCCTTGTGGAGACCAAAGTGGAATACCGCGGAGCGGACAGCGAAAAAATTCAATCCTACATGTCCTCCGCGAAGCCCGGCGTTCTAACACTCACCGAATACACGGTGACATCGGAGAAAAAAGAACCGGCCCCGGGCGGGCAAGTGGTCCTCATCCAATCCGAAACCCCTCCCGAAGCGCAATTCACCATCACAATGACCACCGAATACTTCGAACAAATAGAAAAATCGATAGCGAATTTGGAAACCCAAATCAAAGAGTTGCAGGACCTTCCTGGAAATCTGAAGTTAGTGGAAAGCGTGAAGCAAGGCGACAAAACGCCAGTTCTGGACATGTTCCAAATGCTCAACATCAAGAAGCGAATGGACGCGATCGAGGAGAGCATGACGAAGGTGGCCTCCATGATCGAGTCCGCTGTTAAGGAAGGAATTCCCACGGCAGCAGACGCGTCTGCACCGACTGCTGTAGCGGCCACTAACGAAAGCATCGGCGAGTCCAACGCTTTCAAAGAATTGACGCAAAGGGTGGAAAAGCTGGAAGGAGGCAAAGCGGGAAAGAAAGAAAAAGGCGAAGAAGACGAAGACATCGCCCTCATCAAACAAGACATTACGCTCATTAAAGAAATGCTGAACGTGTTCGAGCCGGAGGAAACCACAGAAGAGGACGAGAAACCCTATCAGCCGGTAACCGTGAGGGTAACTAACCTAGAATTGAAATGCACCGACTTCCAGGAACAAATGATATCACTGGACACCGGCTTCAGCAACTTGACTACCTGCTTGGGGGAGAAAATAGAAAAGCTAGATATCGAAATGTGCGAAGTTCTAGAAAAAGTTCGTATGATACCCACCGATGAGTTGGGCACCGACCAGACCACTCTAATCGCTGAAATGAGAAACCAATTAATGACACTGCAAGAAGAATTAGACTTGGTCATCGACAACGTGAAGAACATATCAGAAGAAACTTCTGATAAAGAACACACCATGGACATACTAGTGGAACAAATTGAGTTACTGAAAACAGTGAAGGCCGACAGAGAGGATCTGGAAGACGCTCTTGCAGAAAAGGCTGATACCTGCCAAATAAACAGGAAAGTATCGTTCGAACAATTCGATAAAGCTTGCGGTGATATGTCGAAGACGCTCGAAGAAGCATTAACTCGACTATCACAACAAGAAACCTTGTGGACTCAAGCTCTTACTAACATCCAAAACGACGTTGGTAACAAGATGGATAGAAACGAAATGGCGCCTCTAAGGGACTTCATCAACACCAAACTTAAAACGTTGCAAGAGAAATTCAAAGCTCTGACGGCGATGAAGAAGGAGCAAGAAGCCGCCGGTGCGAAAACGGTCTTCCTTAAGAACGTAAATTGCATTTCCTGCGACAACGAAGTAGTCATGAGGAAGCATCTGGAGCCGGTGCACCAACCGCCTCCGTACGCTCTTCCGCCTCCTAAGAGCATGGGCCCGTACTTGGCGTACGAATTGGACCAGCTCAGGAGGATGCAGAAGGCGCACAGCAAGAAATTGAACGTTTTCGAAAACGCCTTACTCACAAATAAAGGGGCTAAAAGTCCGGATCATTTATGCACCAGATATTGCGGTGGTAGCCATACCGTTACCACTCCTCATCAACGAGTTACCAGGTTGGGTCATTTCTTGGAGCAATGGGGCCCTGAGATTGGTCCTGTCAATGAGACCCAAATCCGAGGGACTGATGGGAAAGTTTACAAAGGTAGGAGTGATCGGGAAGCGAAGAAGCCGTCTGTGGATAGTTTAGACGAAAGCTTTAACGATGCCAAAATTCTTGAAAGAAGGTAAGAGTTTTGCTTCTTTACTGGATCGATTTATTTATTTTTTTCGCTAATTTATTTACGTACAATAAGCGTAAGTGATTGACAGAAATTCTTCATGTATAACAAACAATTTGGAATTTGTTATCATGCAATCAAATTACATTATATTGGTTTAACTATTCCCTATAGAGAAAACAGAATGTTTAAATAGAGAGCGCATCTTGGAAAAAAATAAAGTAATAATGTTTCTGTTGTGTATTATCACCCGAAATGTAAACATGTTTGATTATTCAATTTGCTTATGCGAGAGGTCATATTTTTTATTTCTTATAGTCTCTGCATTATTAAAGTATGTGCAAAATATTTAATGAACAGAATCAATTGGGGGCCTCATGGAAGGGAATTTTTGGATTAACCTAACCCACCGGGTTCATTTTTGATAAAAAAATTATACATTTAAATATGTTTTAAAAAAGACTTCTGCTTTTTGCAAGATACTTGAGGATTTATTTTAATACAAATTTCATTGTTTTATTACAGTAAAGTAGAGACAGTTGCGCATTATTCTTTGAAATAGATTTGTTTCACTAATAAATGTATTTTTGTAATTTTTTTTCATGTTTTTGGTAAAATTTTTATGAAGGTAGAGCTTTTCTTGATTTTCCCGTTTTTGTTTAAATTTTATTAAAATCTTCATATATGAGATTTTTATAAATTTTATTATTGATATTATTGATGATTCTTTTTCACTATATTTTCCACTGAACTAATTTAAAATTTTCAAAATGCGATAGAAAGTCTTCTAAAATACCAAGATTTTTTGTAAAATACTTTATTTACTATCTACCTTTTCCCACAATCATTATTATTCTCAAAATATAGTTCACATGAACTATCAAAACTTATTGACAAAAAACTATAAGTAGGTATAAATAATAAAGTATTGATTTTGATCATGATTATTGTTCCAGTGTTTTGGGCATGGAAAATTACCCACATAAAAAATTTTCCACTGCCCATTGCCGAATCTCGATTATTCTCTGCGTTATTCGAATAGAACGGGAATGCCATCGATTTCTCGATTCTGTTACTTGTTCAGTGTTCAGTATAAATAGGTTGCTCGCGCTTGAAATTTTATTCGACGATCGTCCTTGTGGAAGCGAGAGTCAAGGTATTACATAACAATCTGGCATTTTGTCGTGTTTTCAGAATGGCGAAGGTCCCCATGATCAAATTCAACAACGGCGAGCTGTTCCCGCAATACGGTTTGGGCACGTGGAAAGTAAGTTTTTCTTTATTTTTATCTCGTACAAGCACTTTTTTATTAACGCGGTGCTAAATGAAAGCCCGAATATTTCGATTGATTGGGAAGTGCGTAAACAATGCGGTGCATTATTTGAAATTTCACCGACCGGCGTTTGATATTTTACCGCTTATATACATATGTATTATAAAATAATATTGCATTCACGAGTGCGAAAAAATTGCAGTTTTATTGCGGAAAAATAATTGTTTTTATGACGAATAATTAAGAGATATTGTAATTTAACGTTTCAATTTTATGCCTCATATTTTTAAAATTTATAATGTAATAGATCGATTAGAAGTGAAACCTATTAAAATAATTAACTATTTAATAAAAATGTAGATTTCGAGATAATTTTTGAATAATTAAAAACTTGAACTAATATCCTATTAAAAAATTAATATTTTTATCAGGAAGGTAATTGGGTAAGTGCTTTGATACCGTTGAGTATTGTGTTTTACATGAATTGTGTTTTACATAAATTATATTGTCTATTCTTAATTTCCACAAATGAAAATTCGTGAAATTGTATAGGTAGGTTTGTAATTATGATTTATATTTTTTATTCTATGATTTTTAACGATATTGTTCTATTTGCTTATTTTATAAAGCATATTAGGTATATTGTATTTTTCTTACACTATTGGATTACAAAAAAGTTAAATGAAAAATTCAAATGGAATTTTAAAAAATCGTGCAATTAAATGCATTTTTATCATTTCATGCTGGATATAAAACCCGACACATTTTTACTATTTTTATTCTGAATAGATTCAAGGTCCAATGTCATTATACCTATTCATGCGTGTTTACATAAATTAATTCTGAATTATGCATAAAATTATTCAATAAATTGTAGATAGATTAGCTGTTAGAAAAACGCCAATATTTTAATTACTTGGTCACATATTTTAAGATTAAAGAACAAAATATTTTTTTAAGATATTTTATGTTAAAACTTCTAAATTGTATCTGAAATATATTTACAAGTGGTTTTACTGCATGCGTTACGAATCACCCTGTATATAAGTGTAAAATTATTCTCGTTAGGTAATTTTTATTCAAAGGTTATCTACAGGTTATTTGGGAGATATTAACGTTATAACGATAAATTAAGCTTTGAATTAATTTATAAAGGAAATAATTGGAAACTGAAAAATGTGTAACATGTAAATGTATGTATGTAAAAATATAATACACTAAGCATAATATAATTATTAACGGTAATATTAATGATTTTCGAAAGAGAAAACTCATTGTAAATTTATTTACATTTCGAGAGTATCGAAACGATACGGGTTATCACATCGTGTGGTTTGTTGCAAGAATTTTTAAGTTATTTAATCAATATGCAATTCACGTTATAGTAATTAAAATTATCAAATTAAATATTAAATAATTCATTAATAAGTGATAAATTATTTTACCTATACATATCGTGAAAAATTTTTGTATTTTGTTTTTGAACTGTACTATTTGTTTTTGTAGTATTTTGTTTTTTATTTTATTACTAAAAATTGAACTTGCCACATGGTAACCTATTTAACGTAATAATTATTGAATATCGCGACTTTATCAGTATTACATAATATAAGATATTTTTGAATAGGAACTTGTCTTTTTGCAAAATACTTGAAATTATTTACTACTGAAGCTATTTGTGTAATAGTCAAAAGATAAGATCATTGGATAGAAATTATTAAAAATTCTTCCTTCAACAATTTTTCCATTTCTTTTAATTTCTTTACTGACAAATAAATGAAAAAATCTCAGATTTTATTTACACTGAGAATTCTACTCATACATTTTTAAGAATATTTAAATTACATAATTTACCTACACGTTTTTAATCTTATCACTATCTTGTAATCATTTATGAGTTTAGGACTTTTAAACTACAAAAAATAAATTTAACAAATGTAAACTTCAAATATAATATTACACTGTAAATATATCGACACTTGAAGATTGTTTAAAAAATTTTATCTTAAGTATTCTAGTAGTGTATTACACGTTGGCGAGGGGAGATAACGTTTCCGAAATTAAATAATTGAACAGATTGTATCAGAAAATATATTAAAAAAATTAAAAGTAAATCCTCGTTAATCTATTCACAGGTTTATCTTCCTTTGAAGTCTGTGAATATTTACCAAAATATTGGTAGGTAGGAACTACAAAAACTACAAAATGTGCATACTATAAAAATTGTGATATAAAAAATTCAACTCCTCATCAATCTGAACAATCTCTAAAAATAGAATGAGTAAATTTTAAATTTCATCCTTGTCCACATTGAAATGTATTAAGGAAGATCAGTGTGGAAAATTCTAATATGACTCACTTATTGCATTAACTGTTTACGATTCGCTAACAAGATTTAATTTTTGTCTAGGGGACAATTGGAATTTTTTTTGAATGGGTCATGGGTACTAATTGAACCGGCCCATTAACATTTGGTTTTATTGAATGTGTTAGGAATAGGGATGGGTACAAGGTTAAAGGATGTTATTTCGTGTACTTTGTGGAAAACTTTCAGGCACTAATGGATTTATGTAATAAGGTTTAGTGGAGGTAATTAATTTTAATAATGCGGCAATATTTACAATTTTGTGTTGTTTGGTATAGTTTGATGTTTTGTACCTTTTTTCTAACTTAATAATAATAGAATAATTTTTATAACGTAAAAATAATTCCTGGCGGTATAAAAATTATTATGCTTTGTAAATTTGTTTTTCTCCCTATAGACTAAGGAATACCTAAACAATATTTTCAATGAGAATACACAATTGTTTTTTCTAGGAAATAAAATTCATTTTTCATAGTTTTGAAATGTTTTCGTGTGTATTTGCTATTGAATCTAAGGACAAGATATATGTGATTAAATTTGCAAACTACATTTAATGATAATAAAAATAACATCCGCACAATGCATGTTGTTATCAAGAAGATTCCATGTAAGCATTTATCAATCTATGCCAAATATGCGAATAATTGCATTCCGGTATCGCGACATGACCTAACATAACACCGGATATCACCGAAGAATTCGCAAGCTAAAATATTTTTTTACACTTTGCATAGATCGAATTTTTTACTTCCTGGAATTCGTATCCAATTTCGCTGCTCAGAAATACCTCTTTTCACCATAACACAGCAGATATTTTAAAATTTATCCGTCTTCCTATCTACCTTTAGGTATGTACTAATAAAAATGTTCCTGTTTTTTAGTCAAAGCCCGGTGAAGTAACCCAAGCAGTGAAAGACGCCATCGACATCGGTTACAGGCACATCGATTGCGCCCACGTCTACGGCAACGAGCCCGAAGTCGGCGCCGCTTTGAAAGCCAAATTGGGCGATGGAACCGTCAAACGCCAGGAAATCTTCATCACCAGTAAGTTATGGAATACCATGCACAGGCCCGACTTGGTGGAGCCGGCCATCAGGACGACGCTGAAGAACTTGGGCATCGAATACTTAGATTTGTATTTGATCCATTGGCCGTTCGCTATGAAGGTAATGTCCAGTTCTTGTATTTATTTTTGGCAATAACTATTGAAACCCGTATCAGTAGAAGAGGGAGTTATGTAGAGTTATTTTTGACTGTGAATTTTTTGTAACATAATCAGGATTTTTATGAAGGATAAATAAATTGGATTTATGGGAGAAATATGTAGTCTACGAGCCATTTACATTTTAAGATTTTAAATGTATGTATGTAAATTTAACAATTTGATTAGAATATTTTTCTAAATTAATGGCTTTTTAGGTTATTTTGCTAAATAATTTGATTTTTGAGAGGATTTAAGATTGTACATAAATTTAAATTACATTTTACTAAATTTTCATTATTCATCATTGTCATTATTCAGATAAAACATTCTAAATAATAATCTTCCAAAGTAGTTTTCTAAAATGTTCTACAAACAGTCCTAAGTCTGTTCTAAATGAATTTTGGACGGTTCCAAATGGTTTTAAGATCGTCCTGAATTGATTTAAATGATTTTAGGCAGTTCCAAATGGTTTCAAAATCGTCCTGAAATGTTCTAAATGATTTTGGACAGGTCAAAATTATTCTAAGATCGCCATGAACTCTTCTAAATGATTTCTAAATGAATTGTTCTTGGGTCGCCCTGAACTGTTCTAAATGATTTTGGACAGTTCCAAATGGTTCTAAAATCGTCCTGAACTATTCTAAATCATTTTGGACTGTTCCAAATGTTTCTAAAATAGTCCTGAATTGTTCTAAATGATTTTGGACAGTTTAAAATTGTTCTAAGATTGTCCTGAACCGTTCTAAAAGATTTTGGACAGTTCAAAATTGTTCTAAGATCATTCTGAACTATTTTAAATTTTACTGGTCAGCTATAAAATGATCTGAATTATTCTGGACAGTTATTTGTTTTGGAGCAGTTCTAAACGATTCTAGACCTTTCCTGAAGGATTATAAGTAAACGTTCCGAGTATAATGCTATCTCTATCCCTCTCAAACGATATTACAATGGTCACATAGACTCTCTTTCTCGCACTCGTGTTTTTATTCCTATATCCACGCCGAAGCAAGCCGATACATTAGGTTTCACTTGTACTAGGTTATAAAATTTTATTGAGCAATTCTCTTATATTTTGCAGTTCTTATCAAATTTGGTATAATTTATGTCTAAAATTAAATTTAGGTTTGGTATATCAGTATAACCTTGAACGTTTTTCGACTCTAACAATTATTATCGCACTCATCAGCTTAGATTAAGTGATTACACCTATCTATTTAATCTGTAGTAGATTGATAATGAAAAATATTTTTACAGATAATTCCCTTTTTATATTAAATTGTACATTTCAGTAATCCTTGAATGGAAACAATCCAAACCATTATGTTTGTTCAACTTCAATTAGATAATCATTTGACCACAGACCACGTCAGTAATCGATTATTTTAAATATTTAAGTTCGAAATCAAAGCATTTTCACCGATTGAATAACCACCTAGTAACAAGCAGTTGCAGCGACTAGCAGTTTGTTCCAAATAAATCCCATATTAATATTTAATTAAAATTGTGAAAAATATGCTTACGTAGCAATTGAATTTTTTACTTGCTAAAATATTCATAGATTAAAAATTAGAGAGTGCACTCAGTTTTATAACATGACACTTTTAGAGATTATTTGATCATGATACCATCTATTCATCCTCTCGATTTTCAAATTTATTTTTATCTACTAAATCTGCATGCATACATTGGATGGAAAATTTATTGTGGTAGAATTCGCATTTCTCCATTTTCCATTGGCTATCTCTGGGCTGCCCACAGTAATATTAATAAGAAAAACTAATTTACAGGAAGGAGGTGAGCTCTTCCCAGCAAACCCGGACGGTACAGTTGCCTACAGCGACGTCGATTACGTCGACACCTGGAAAGCCATGGAAGATTTAGTGAAGAAGGGATTGACTAAATCCATAGGAATTTCCAACTTCAACAAACGCCAAGTCGAGCGGCTCTTACAGAGCGCTACAATCAAACCAGTTACCAACCAAGTAAATAAAAACTATTACAAAGTAAATTAACCATCAATTACACCTTAATTTATTCTTTCAGATCGAAGTTCACCCGTACCTGAACCAGCAGAAACTGATCGATTTCCTCAAAACCAAAGACATTGTGGTGACTGCTTACAGTCCCTTGGGATCGCCCGACAGGCCGTGGGCCAAACCCGGCGATCCGCAATTGCTGGACGATCCCAAGATCAAGCAAATCGCTACCAAATACAACAAGACCCCCGCTCAAGTGGTGTTGAGATACGCCATCCAGAGGGGACTCATCACCATACCGAAATCGGTCACCAAGTCCAGAATCGCCGAGAACTTTAAGATATTCGATTTCGAATTGAGCGAGGACGACATGAAGCACTTGAACACGTTCGATTGCAATGGAAGGATCTGCCCGTACGATGAGTAAGTGCAAATTTATATAGGAATAATTATTACTATTGATAATTACATCAATGTTTTGATCTCTTTTAGTGCCTACACCCACAAGGACCATCCCTTCATCAATGATGAATTTTAAATCGAAAATTATTATAAAGTTTAACATTGTAATTTTATTACAAAAAATATATAAAACTATTTTACAATTAAATCACTTGTCTTTTATTATACTCGCGATGTAATTATATTAGTAATTATCTTTAAACTATGATTATAATTTACTTACTCACTATTTGACTGAATTTGGCTTTTCATTGGTTGAAGAGTGTTAGGAATAATTTGAATGGGTATTAAAGAAAGATAGCCATTTTGTTATTACTTATTCTCCCGCTGAGCGCATAAAATTTAATTAACGGCCTCTTTCACATCAAAATATTGGTGAGTGGAAGAAGGAATATTTCTGGAATTTTAACCACATTATCTACTGCGCTGACCACGAATGGTAGGTTTGAGCTTATTCATCAATATTTTCCTATCCGAGGTTTTTTGCATTGCGACAGAAATTTTTCACAAGGAAATAAACCCAAAGTTTCTCAAAGATTTCAAAAGCTGGTAGCCCAAATACTTCAAAAAGACTGACAAATATATTGGAAAAAAACTGTTTCTACATTTTTAACTATTTTTTTGTATTTTGAGTGGGAAAATGCCAATCACCTATTTATTTAAATGCGCCGAATTTTAATAGATATTTTATTTTATTAGTTTGTTTTTTACATTTTTGGATAATAATAATAACATATGCAATAACAATGGTATAAAAATATTCAGCCTTTCCGCTTACTATTCAACGAAAAACATTTGCAATAGTAGACAGACAGTTATTTATGATATTCCAGTTACAAGTAAGGTAAATAGAAAAGATTAAATTTCTCTAGTTTAACAATACCTCGACTAAGTAATAAATAAGTACATCAAAAATCAACTGCAATGGTTCGAACATGGTTTAAAAATAATCTTTTGTCAGAGTAAATGTATCAATTTAATGTGTTAATGAGAAAAGCCCATTATCAGTCAAGAAATCTCGTACATAAGAAAGAAGGAACTAGATAGTATAAAGAAATTATTGAGTAATTTACATTACATACGGTATTATTAATTAACAGCCCGTAATGAATGCAAATATGATTTGAATCTCTTGATCCTTGTTAGTAATTGATTTATCATGATTTATGTAATAAAGTTATAAGAGGCAGATGAATTGTTAGTCAAGTTACCCCGAATGAATGGAAGAAAATAAATCACTGATATTAATATGATTTCACCGAAAAAATGAAGAGAAAATAATCTACAAGAATGTTTGAAAAATAGTGAAGAAAATGTTATTTAGTGAAAGTTCCAGTTTAAAAACCATTGCCAAAAGAGTAAGAATTTGATAAAAATGTATCATAAATGCTGTTAATAAAGATCCGAGAGGAAAGCTACATGCATATTATTTAACCTCCTAATATTGAAAATTTTATAATACAAGTTTGAGTTGATTTTTTATCTTTATACCTATCACTTAGAAAAAAGATGTTAGATGAGTTATAAAACGCTAATGATAAAGAAGTTATCTTCATTAATGACTAAACCAATTAAAGACAGAATAACTAACAGTAAGATTAGATAATACAAATCACACTAAGTGACTAAGTTCTAATACTACTGCTAGATTCGTAACTTACATGCAAGTTCATAAAGGAAACTAAACTTTAGTGAATGTTAAAATTAACAGAAGATGAATAAGTTGTTAGTCGCAAAAGTAAGCAGGAACATTTCTCGACACGCCATTCGATTCACGCGCAAATCGAATTAAGTTTTTACATTTTACCTAAAAATCTAGTTGCGATACGAATATACATTTACATATTATATTTACCACAGCGTAACCAATACTTTAAAATTTCGAATATACTATCTCCTACTCCAAATCAGTCTATCCGGAAAATTCGAATAAGTAGCCGTTGCCGAAGCTGTTGGCCTTGCCGGGTTCATCGTAATAATCTTTCTCTTGTAAAGCGTTGGAACTTGGCGTGGGAGAGACTTGAATGCGCGACGGGTACGCCGGTCGAGGATAAGCAGACACCTGCAACCAGATTTTTTCCAAGACTTCTAACTAAATTATTAGTAGATAACCAACCTGAGATTGCGATTTTTCGTAAATTTCCGGTCGATATTGACCGTCGTCTTCTTCCTGGGGCTTGTAGTTGTACGCTAGTTGCTGGTACTGAGGCTGCGCTTGGTATTGAGGTTGCGCTTGGTACTGAGGCTTCTGCTCTCTGTACTGTGGTTGCGGCTGGTAGGCCGGTTGCTGTTGGTAAGCCTGGTGTTGTGCAGGCACCGGAAGTGGAGCCACCGGTTGGGGAGCCTTCGGCAAATGATCGGCTTCCAAGATTTTGAAACCTTCCTTGCCAGCCGTGTATTTTACTGATATTTTCTTGCCATTTGGATCGATGTAACTGGAATATAATGAAGTTCCATTAAAGTTTCTTTCTTTTGCTCGGGCAATTTAATTACCTGTATCCTCCATTCCTGGATCCATCGGGAGCTATACTTTCACCTTGTGCCAATCCATTTTCGGAGGTAAAAATGTATTTGAAGTTACCATCGTGGTTAAGTGCCTGCTTGTGGGAAAGGATCTGCGGCGGTGGAGGAGTCCTTTGATAGTTGTAATTTTCTTCCTGATTGTATTCACCGTTTTGATAATGTTGTTGGCACTGGCAAGAGATCAATAAGCTCAAAGCTATTCCTAATATCTGAAAATTTTCACAATAAAATTTACCAATATTAAAATCAAGGAAATTTAATTTTAATATGAGGAACGTAAGGTAGACTGGGGCAAATGTAAAAATGGGGTAAATGTAATATTTTTACCTATTATGTTAATGTTTTTATTATTTATATAGTTCTTTTGTGCATTAGACAGGGTTTGTTTCTTATTTTTTCTTTATTATTTTGTAGCTCTGTTATTTTTTGAAATAAATAAGTAAACAGCATATCAAATTTTAGAGGAACCAAATATTTCTTTACAATTGCCCCATATGTTTTTCTATATAATTGTATTGCACTTTAGAACCGTTTGTTACATTTATCCCGTACCATGGGGTAAATGTAACATATTGTCAACATTTTAAAAAATATGTAAAATCGTTTTCTTCCTTTTTCAAAAAAACTTTTTAATACCTCGATTCTTTAGTTTAGGAAGTTGTGAATTTAATGTGGTATCAGCATTTCTAATAAGAGAAAAAATAAAGCCACATTTTGGGATTTAATTTGAACTATTCAAATTTTATAACCGATTTGCCCCAGTCTACCTTACAGTATTTTGTGTACTATAAAATTATAACATTTTAAATTTCTAGCTAAGAAAAGGGATATTTTTAAGTATTAATATTATTAAATAAATAATAATCAAATTGATATTTTTCATTGTTTGAAAACTTCAAGGAGAAAGTTGGAAAATTAATATTATTTTCATTTCTAACTTTTTTATATTTCTATTTAATTAGGTATTTCAAAAAACAATACCGCACGTTATTTCTAAAAACTAAATTCCAAAACTAATAATTTTTGAAAAATATTAAGAAATAACAAAATAACAAAATAGATATTTTGATTGAATCAAAGTAAAGTAATTCCCTAACAAACTAATATTTTATATGAAAAACTAAACGTACTTACCGGCGTGCAATTCATTATTATCCTATTTGTTTTATTCGCACTAGCACAATGAGAATGTTTGAAAAGCAACACAGGGCTTTATAGATTGGTGGGTGGGTACACTGACCACAGTCCGTGCACTTGTATCTGCAAATATGGGAGAAAGTGTCTCAGCAATACGAATTTTTCACACGTTCGTATTATGTAAAGCGAGATTTACTTTCTTGGTCTAAATATGCATTATTGGCAAATTAAAAAAAAGTTTAACACTGTGTTTACGAAAATGTTCAGTTGCATGAAATCGGGGGAGGTCACCTAGAACATCGTACCCAAAATGTAGATTGTTGATCAATATCGGTGTATTTTTATTGCATCATGTTGGTACATTCGAAATTTCAACATATTTTCAACGTATTTGTTCCGGTCTTCCGTATGCTTAAATCTAATGGGATTTTTAAGGTATGTCGATAAATATTTTTGTCTTTTCTACATAATCTAAAAAAATTAACGATTTCATTTTTGGTTTGTTACTTATTTTAAATTAATTTGCTAATAACGAGAGCAGTGAAGTAACAGCTTAATATGGTAAAATAGACTAAATAATAATAAAACTTATAAATAATTCAAACGAATTAAAAACAGGCGTAATGATGTAAAATTTAATGGGCTCTATCCAATTCCAAGTTTTTACTATTTTAAATTTAACTCTCAATTAACAAGACTACATTTGTATGTTACGTTCGAGAAAATATTATTAGAATATACGGAATTAATTCGACTGTAAGAATAATCACTGTTTCAATTCTTATGTAAGTCGAAGTAGGACAAAGCGTATTGATAAGTTATTGTTAAGTACAATCGATTCGAGCCAAACGAGCTGAATTTATTTTGTAAAAAACTCCGTGGTAAGTAAAAGCAGTTCTTCAACTTTAATAGGATTAAAATGGTAGAAAGAAAATCTATAACAGTTTGCAAGTGGATTGTATAATATTAATTATTTTTCACACACCTATCAATTAAAATTTCATTATATTTGTAGACCGGCTATCTTGATATTTTCCGCGCCCTGTTATTTGACAAGGAGAAAATTTATAAGTTAAGATCTTCGTTTTGAAATAAAAATTTCAATCATCGATTTCACACTTTATGAAACTCTTGCTCGATGGAACATAATAATTTTCTATATTTACGGCCGGCAGAGCCGCGGTCGAAACATTTTCACAAAACCTAATCTTTCGACATTTAAATCTACAAAGAAAATATCGAATACTTAATAGCGCATGAACCATGCAATTTTGTTTAATAGTTGCCGGTTTTGTAATTTTTTTAACGCAATTAATAGCGCTTGCGATAATTCAGTGATCATACACGGTGTAATTTACGATGTTTAAAATTATAATCATAAATAGTCTGGGAAAGGTGTAAAAAAACTCAGCGAATTTGGAGTTATTTGACTTTATTATTGCACCACAGATTGGATATAAACATCAAACATTTATAATCTACCACCTAGGATACTTTGTTAACAGTGATCTCAATTAGATGTCGATCATAAAATAACTAACATGCAACAACAAGCTACAACTAAACCAGGTACCTAATAGTGGCCCTAAAGTTTAGTAAAAATACGTTTGAGGCAACGATGTTGCCCAAATTTTTTTCGGACCCTCACCAGCTTCGAAACAAAAAATTTTATAGTTTTTTTGTCGTGTAGGTTGGGACAGAGATTATTGTCTTCTAGCAATAATCTTTCTGAGTTTCACAACATCAGATTATGATATTTTGAGAAGACGATTCGATACAATCGTCGTACACACAAAACACAAAACGTATACATAGCTGAGTGGTTATATGCATTTTCTTCAGCAATAATAAGCAACACTAAGGTCCCCTTACTGCATACCAGATAGCCCATAAAGATTTTTGATTGGCTCAGCAATTCTCGTAGAATGATATTATTTTTCCTCTACTGATATTGTTTTACGTCTAAATTTCTCTAAATATTAATAGTTAAGTATATAGACATTTATTTTTGGATATAATATGTTTTAAGGTACTTGGCAATCATTTTTCGGGCTGGATAGGAGGACATTTCCAATTTCAATACAAGTTTAATTTAATTCCGAATAGTTAAGGGCGTCTTATTGCCCTGCTCCCGGATTCCTCTACGGGAAAGGGTTACGTGCAGCCATTCACGATAACCCAATACAGGGACCCTTATGGGTGAATTTCGACAAAATTTTCTCGTACTCCTATCAAATATGCAGAAAACACAATCTAAAACGACTAAAAACATAAAACTAACCGTAAATATGTGCTGAACGATTAACATATCATTCTCAATTTCTTAATAATGTTATTATTTGTACATACAACACTAACTGTATATATGTGATAAATTTCAAGATTTCATCTTTTTTTTTTACAAGTATCTACTCTTTATATGTTAAAATTTGTGCCCACTACTCGTCGTCTTCTTCGTTCTGGTACGTCACATATCTCACCGACGATGATTTATCCTCCGTTAGCAACGTCTGAAATTAAATGAAACTAGAAAGTTCACGTTAAAATTCAAAACGTCGATACCAATGCGAGATCGAAATAGAAATCAATCGATTTTTCACCATAGTCACATACGCGTGTATGCGCAAAAATAACCGTTACCCGTATACCACTTTTAAAATGTCCAAAGTATCCATTTAATAGCTAATTATGTCGGATCGGAATGCCGATTGGAAACTTAATGAACTTACCCGTTTCTCCTCTTTCGTTGGTGGGCTCTTTAAGCAGTAAAGTAATGGAGCGTACAAGAAATTCAGAATGGCTATGCCGAACAACATCCATTCGAAGCCTATATTTTTAACCAGAGTTCCACTAAGTGCTGGTCCTAAAATCAAAAGGAAATTATAAAATTCAAAAATGTCAATGAACTAGATTTTCTCGAGAACAATAAAATTGCAACACTGTAAGTAGGGATGATTAGGTTAGGAGAGTAATGAACTATTCATCCTTTATTCATCACTCATTATGTATTCATCATTTACTCTGTATTAATCAATCATTCTATGATAATCCTTCATACTATTAATTCATGATTTATTCTATATTCACCATTCATCCTATATTTTTTGTCTTTTTTATACCTTATTAACATCATCAATCAACCTTTTTTATCCTCATTAAATCATTACCACTATTTGTTACCTACCAAGGAAGACGTAACAGATGTAGGTAAACTATTCATCCTATATTCATCATTCATTCTCTATTCGTCAATCATCCTATGATATTTTATACTATTATTCATCATTTATTCTGTATTTACCAGTCATCCTATGATCATCATTCATACTATTATTCATCATTTATTCTGTATTTATCAGTCAACCTATGATCATCATTAATACTACTATTCATCATTTATTCTACATTAATATATTTTTTTGTCTTTTTTATAAAAAAATCGGCAACCTCATTAAATCATTACCACCGGTTGTTACCTACTAACGAAGGTGTAACATGAATGAAACCTACTTCGCAGAACTACATCAATATGCACCGTGCTTTCGCCGTTAGTTTTTTTTTGGTACATTTTATCACCGATTTATAGTTATTTCTTCCTGATCGGCGTGCGCTCGTTTACGAACTGGTCCGTAATTGGAATTGTAACGATTACGCAATGCGTCTAGGAAATCACTTGACCAATTGATTTTGACTAGGTAAACAGAACGCATTACATACCAGTTTGTACGCTATTAAAAATATGCAAATTGATCTATATTAGGGAAAAGTGAAGTGCTTTACTACGATTAGCGTTAAATACTTGTAATGAGGATAAATATATATAAATTAATTGGAATTATTATAGTGATTATATCGTATCTCGGAAGAAAGCATTTATGCCAATTTGGCTTTAATTGAAAGGAATAAAAATGCCGGAATTGTTTACCAACTAGTTTTGAAAGTTATCCTATTTGTGCTTATCTAATAAGCCTATATGATAGATCTATAATAGACCTATAATAGACCTACAGGTCTACACTTATCTAGAAGCCGTGTACAATAGACCTCTGTAATAGACTTATCCAATTAACATATCTAATTGATCGACCTATCGAATAAATCTATCAAACATCAATCTCACCTATCTACGAGTAGTAGACCTATCTTAAACTATCTAAAAGACCTGTCTAACTGACCTCTCTATAGACTTATCTAATACATCTATCTAGTAGTAGACCTACATCGTAGACCTATCTAATAGACATATAGGTATGTTTAAGCTTATTTAATAAATATCCTTCCTTTTTATTGAGCTTTATCTATCAGTTGCATATTATTGGTAATGTAAATGCTTACCAATGGCGAATCCTAAGCAGAAGGCGACATCACCAATGGCATAAACGCTCCCATAGACAGCAGTGTGCCTAATGTCCACCAAGTAACCCAATTCCGGCATCATGGAACTGTCGACCATGCCAATTGCGAAACCAAGACCAGCATTCGGAACAATCAAATGGTTCATGCTTTTCGCTAAAGGTATCTGAAATAAAAATAATCCGTGCAACGATCAAATAATAATCGCTTGATCAGTTGATCCGATAATTTTGAATAGCACTGTATATGCTTGTTGAATAATATATTTTCTCTAAGTATGTATGTAACTCGTAAGCAAATTTTATACGAACGATTGGGAGTATTCAAATTAATTGGTTCGAATTTGCCCTAAAATATTCAGAGAAATTCGCAGCAACACGCCTACTACGTAATAATAAACTAATAAGCATACATTATGTATAATAAAGTTAAAAGACACAAAAGTTTATATAAGTAGTTACGCAATGGTTATTACCAAACGAAATGTCATAGTCTAATATTAACAGTAAAATTTCATAAAGAAAATCCACACCGACGGCGGGTTTTTGTCTTTCGCCGAGCATATGCATTACCAAGTTTCACCTTTCCTGCGAATTATCCACGCTTCGTTACTAAATAGGTTCACCGACATGGATGATCTAGTACAATTTACTGCTATATTTCAACAATTACGAGGGCGCGCGAAATGTAACGTACTCACCAACATCAAACATACACCTATAACAATCAATCCTAACAAAGCGGCCAACCATCTGCCCATTTTGTGTCCCAAAGGCCCGAACAAATTCGTGCCTATCAAGTATGATATGCTTGCAGGAAGGAACGTAACGCCCTGCTTCCATCTTCCTGCTCCCATCGTGTCCATCATCCAAATCGGCAAGGACGGCTCTAGCATGGCGATGCCCATATTAGCGAATGTAATAGCACCTAAAATTCCATTCAACATAGCATTTTACAGCTAAATAGTTTCAACAAATCATTACCTGCTGCTATAATTATGTACGGATCACAAACTAAAGCTTTCAGCGACGGAGGCTCTGATTCCTGTCTGATTACAGTCGGTTGCAACATTAGAAGCTGCAGCACTAAAATAACTCATTTATAATTGTTATATTATTAACAATTACACTCCACTTACGTCCATCGCCAAGAGCCAGAGCGGAAAGTATCAGAAAAGGCGCCGATTTTCCAACAAATTCGTACATGACACCACCAAAAGGCGGTCCGATGAGAACACCCAAAGCCAGTCCACCCAGCGCTATACCCATGGCGTTTCCTCTTTCCTTATCATCCGGGTACCTCTCTGCAAGCATCCCCATGCCGGAGACGCTGGAGCAAGACGAGCCGACACCCTGTAGGGCTCGCGCTATGAATAATACGCTATAGCTTCTACCGAACGCGAAAACTGCAAAACAAGAAATCGAGACGGTCTGTATAGAGGAAGCGCAACGCGAAAGAATTGTATCAACAGTAATGATTCAACTCATTACATTTCTTAATCTAGTTAGCACGGTAAAGCGTAATATCTGAAGACGCTTTGTGATAGAACGGCGTGTAAGTGGTTCTAATTAAATCACTTTGGGGAGCAGCGCTAATAAGAAGCGACTTCACAACTAATGGAGATGCTCTCCTCCGCCTTTCCGATCATTAGATAAAAGTGACGACTTTGGTTTGTATTGGATCTGTCTCTTTTCTAATTAGGGGAATCGGAAGGATAGACAGAGACGTGCGACAGGTGATACGGGAAATTTAGCTCCCCAAACCGAATTGATTTATTGCAATAATTATTAGGTAGATTTCGGATGGCGAATGAGCACTTTTACCGCTACGTTGTTTTACTATTTAATATAATTACTAAAGTATTGATTAAACTAAATAATTATTTTATTTAACCTAGAGGTAATTAATTGTTAATATGTGTTAATAACAATTAAATATACTTACTTATTGTAGATAAAAACATTATGACAAAACCGGCGAACATGGGGACACTGTAGCCAATTCTGCAAATGAAAAAATTAATTCGTATGATCTGTAATGAATTTACGATTTTTAATTTTTTTTTGACAACATTAATCGCTTCAATTATATTTCGCAATTCAATTAATTAAAGTGGTTTCGAGTCCAAAATTGTTCTAAAGCGCTGTTTACTGGCACTGGAATAGTGTCGATCGACAACACATTTAACGAGTTTCGCGGCGAGCTCGTGAAGTACAACGAATTCGATTAACACCTACGTCGATAATTAATGAAAAATACTCACTTGTGCGTTAAAGGACCCACGAAAGGATTAGCCAATAACTGCACAAATGCCTTCGAAGCAAACATTATCCCCACCTGAACGGTTTCCTGCACCAAATCGTTATGCCTCATTTTTCTCTCCTCGTCCTCGGGATCTAACGTTGTGTAATTATCTGCGGAAAAATAATCCCAAGAAGCCTTATACAATTGCTTGAACTTTATTAATTGGAAAACCGCTAAGCAACGTTAGGAAAATATCGTGGAGTTTCCAAAATGAGAGTACTTACAATTTTCTGTGCTTGTAGGTGGTAAGGTTGAAAAATTTTGATTGTAGACCTCACAAGGACAAGGAGGGTAAGTAGCTGCTGTGGTGGTGGTCACCACCTTTGTAGGTCCTAGTGGTGCTTCTGGGTGATTTATGTCGTACAAAAATTCCGGTATAATAGGAACTGTAAAGGAAACTCCCTATTAATACATCATTTAAGATAGAACCAAATTAACTAAAAGTGAATTTATTTGCTGCACCCTGTAGATATGGTCTAAAAGGCCCGTCCTGGAAAACCACCTTCGGTAATTAAACCTAGTAGGATAGGCGGCGCATACGTTAAGGTCGGATTCCATTAAATTCCGTTATCATGAATTTATACAGCCGAGAATAAACGAATTCGAGTCTATTTGAAATTTTATCTCTGTGTTAAATGGTCCGTTTCATTGAATTAAACATGGAATAGAATCAACAGATTGCAGTAAACATCTACTTGCTTGGGAAATATATGGCCGCGCCGCTGACACACTATAAAAATGTATGAGTGCATTTCGTTAGCTAAGAGGATATCTAACACCGTTCGAAAAACTATACGAGACGTGCGCAAAAAGTACATCAAACACTGCGAAGTGTACGAATCAAAAATGAAATCGCGGCAAATACAATGTAATGGAAGCTACTATGTATTTAATCACATTTATCAGAAATAGAGTCATTATAAATGTATAAGAATTTCGAGTAAATTCAATCAAAAGCACGAAAAAGTAAAACGATTTCGGTTGCTTCAAAAGCCTTCGCGATAGCTGCGGGGAAGCTTTAAAAAAGCTGTAGAAATTTCAATAAAGGGAATTGATATTTGAACACCAGGAAAAAACAACATAGGACCGTTCAAAGGTATAGAAAAACCTTCATTCCAACGCTTAATTTAGCTACTCGAATAATTTATATAGCTTAATCTGGACCCTTTATAAATTTATTAATTAGAAATATTAGTACAAAAAATCGTTTAAATAGAATAAGGGAAGAAAATTTGTAATTTTTTAATTAAATAAAACATTTTAAACGCAACAAAGCGCCGGAAATTATACTCAAAAAAATCCAAACGTACAAAAGCGAACCAGAAATAAACAAACAGTTAATTAAACGAGATGCTTTCACGCCCGGAGCCTCCTAGCTTATGAAAGTCTAAAAACCTTTCGAGGAGTGATAGAAAAGACGCATACATTGCAAATGACATCTTGACTGAACGGATCTGACCGACCTCTATTTATTTTCTCACCACTCTTATCAGAGCGAGGGTTCTACCGTTTAACATTGGCACTCATCCATTTTTAAACAGCTCCAATACATTGTCGGAGAAGCGCGCCAGGTCGATTTCATCATGCAATTTTATTTGTTGTTATACCGCATTCGAAAGAAAAATTATTAGGAATGTCGTAGGAATAGTCCAGTTTAATGTATAGTATAGGAAAAATGGATCTTAGCCGGTCGACAATCCGAGTTTAAACAAAGTTCATGAGTCCAGTTTTGCAAGAAAAAAAAAAGAGAATTATAAACAACTATTCTTTTATATCATTATAAATTTTTTATTCACATCTAAGTGGGGACTTCCCGGAAATAATTTAGGCTTGGAACACGCTGAAAAAAAGGCCTAAACATGAAAATCCCGACGCGACTAAATATGAGTGTTCGTAAAGTTTTCGAAGGAAAAATCTTCTAGCTGATTGCTTGGATCCGGCATAGAATTGCATTAAACATGAAAAGCGGTTGGTGGCGCTTTTAAAAGTCGCCGGAGCGTGAAAAGCCGCTTCTCGCCCCGCGTCCGTCCGGTTTATATCATTAGATTTTTATGTACTTCACAATAGGACGACGATAGTCGATTTAAATGGAACATCCTACCGTCACGTACACTTTCGAAATTTCATTATCGATGCAAATAGGCTACGTTATTGGGTGTAACATAATCCCCTGTTATAATGTTGATAATTTTTTATAGGTAAATTATTACCGTCTGTGGTAAGTACATGTAGCCTTCGGTATAGCGCGAAATTCCCGGGAGTCTTATCGGGCTATATTCTCGACTAATAGGAGTGCATTTTAGAATTGAGATTGATTTCAAAGTAGATTAGGCCCTGCGAGGATGGCGCTTGCAGCGGCTCGAGTCGTGTACGTAGCTCGAGCTTAACTAACTTCAGATTTCAATTAGTTGACCGTAAGTTAATAACCGATCGCGATGATTATACTTTCGATAAGTATGGAGAAAAAAAGGAAGATTCGAGGAGCAACTAGAATTTAATGGGGGATTTTATTAAAGCTGTAACGTGAGTTGGCCAATAACGATTTTTTTAAGACTATAGGTACTCTTTCTCCTCTATCAAAATTGCTATCAAAATAGGAACTTGCAGGTGTTATTCTACACTGTCTCGGTTTATGAATGAAGTGGTTAACCGCATAATAACACAAGCAAATGAATGGGTTAAATTCCCAACCACTAACAATGAAATAACACCAGTAAAACGGCCGTTTAGATTTTCAGCAACAACTGATGTAGTGGACTGTATTCATATAAAGGAATAGTGAAACTATTGTGGGAAGAAGTGCATCGAAAAAATAAACCATCGCGATATACATACAGGGTGGAAACGCGAAATGGAATGAATTCATTATTTCCCTTATTGTACAGAAAATCCTGAAACAAGTCAAATTTTAATTATAATTTGACATTCCTCAACGTCAAAATGTGAGCCGTATCTTCTACCCCCTTCGAATGACAGTTACAACCCCTATTATTTAAATGGGAAGTATAGGCTTGTGAGATATTTTTTAAGTTAATTTTTGAAAAAAACTTGAAAACAATAACAGTTTTAAATAGAAAATAAAGAGACCTTTCAAACGATATATTGAATTTATTTATAATGAAAATTGTTTCAATTCTTTTCTTATTTTATTCATAATTTTTCTAGAAGCATTGTTTTAAATAATTATTCATACCGTGTTGGAAAAATTTTCGCGCATAATAGGGAAATCAATGTTAAATTCTTAGCCGGCTGAAATCCAATCTACCAGTGTACATTTCAATAGAACGTCGCGATCAATTCTAATAAATTTAATTGTTCTACTGGACTTCACACCGCGCTTTGGCTTGGTTAGATTAAAAATCAAATAATTTCGACGGTTTCAACACTTCGACAGTATCAAAACGGGTTTGGATGGGTGAACGTCGAGTCGATTACAAAGAATTGAGAATTTTTAAACGATAATTTATTATATCACTAATAATAAAGTAGAATTATGTAGATATGTCTTTTTGCCACAATGGCTTGAAAAAAAAAAGTAAATTCTAAGAAAATAATAAAAAGAATACTCCAAAAATAAACTTAAAGATTATTTTAAAATAGAAAATAAAAGAACTCTAAAAAATAGTCCACCGCTTTCTGCTAAACAATAGCCAAACCTGTCATACAGATGTCATCTCATATTACTGAGCTGAGGTGTAATTTTAAGAAAATTGAATTATTTTTTCCTTATTTTTCCTTATTTTAACAAGATTTGTTGCTATTTCAAAACTGTACCTACCGATACACACATTTTTTTGAAATATCCCCAAAAAACCTATTAATTGTAGTTTCTAAATAATTTTGTACCTCATACCTAACACAAATAACTTTGTACCTCTACAAATCGCGGCGTGCGGTCCAGTAGAACAATTAAATTTATTAGAATTCATCGCGACGTTCTATTGAAATGTACACTGGTAGATTGGATTTCAGCCGGCTAAGAATTTAACATTGATTTCCCTATTATGCGCGAAAATTTTTCCAACACGGTATAACTATATTTTTGAAATATGGTGAAGGCACCTTACAAGAAAGTTTTCCACCATTTTTTTAATTAACCGCGATTTTAACAAATGACAAGCCGAATTTCTTACCTAATGCGCTTCTTCAGTTCCCTCGAAGATGTTGCAAAATTTATCAATATTGACAATGTTGTCATAGTCAACGAAAAAATGAAACTATGACAACAGTGTCAATTTTAACAAACCCTGCTTCAATAAATTGCGATGATACTGACTGACGATGATAACCTTTTTAAACTTTCTCCGGGTTACGAAATTAGGTATGTATATCCCATAAATAAAAAACCTCTTTGATTTGATCATTGGAATAGGTAAATAAGTTTTTAGTAAGGAAAAATAAGGTTGCTGATTTGCTGAAACATCCTTTGAATACATAGAGTATTACTTTTAATATTATACTTTTTACTTTTTACGATAATTTTTTTATGTTCCTTAATATTGGCAAAATAAAAATTAATAGTGGTAAAAAGGGAATTGTCATAATCACATGCACACTTGTTGCGTAGGTGATATTGTATTGTTTTGATTCGGTGATGGTTGTATACAACATCGGAATGCAATTTAGGCCGCATTCGTAATTTCAATTAAGATCGGCAATTAACCTTGAAAAGGGCCGTACTTTGATTATCCCCTTAAATTACATAATTTCATTTTAATGGCCAACGAAATCCCAAAGTAAACCATAACCCCGTTTAATGTGATAGGTAATAAAATAAAGAGTAGTGAATTTTGCTTTTGAGTAATGCCCTCGGTCATTATATTTTATCTAAAACGTTTGATAGAGATTTCGTTTTAGGACGGAATAAAATTCCTATAATTTTATGGCACTTTATATTTCTGAGAGTGAATGGTGCTATTATGTTGTCGAGCCACTTCCATTTTCTCTTTTGCTTGAATGCATTTGCAATTGAAGACCGACCGCTTTTTTCAAACAATTATTGGCACAATGGAAAATGCGCCAACACATAATTTGAGGTCGGCCCCCGCTTTGAATTCTTCAAGTAAACGAGCGAAAATCGTGGTCACGCGTTCCTGTTTCCCCGTTCGCCACTGTTTCAACAATGCAATGACAAAAAAACCTCTCGAAAGGGATCAATGAACTGATGAATAATGATCGAGGTTCCCGAATTTACAGCTCCAAACCACCCCGAAAACCTTCTCGAACACTCGAAATTTCAAATGAAAAAATTAATTTAAAATATGCCCATCAACCTCACATCCATATGTGTTTGCATTCTTCAACACCATGGCATTCAAGAATATTATAATTTATTAAATATGAACAACATTTTCTGAAAATACAAAAATTCTGAATCGAAGGGCTGGTTATTTAGTAAGAATAAGTTAACTATCTAAATATTATACATGATCTAACAAGTACCAAAAGACATTTATTTATTGATAAATATCCTCACTTTCGTTGGCCTAATATGTCACAGGTGATCGAACAAATAGGAGTGCGGAATATATCTGATCAGACCTCCTATATCTGGGGCTGGGTATAAATAGCAATTCGTGTTTAAATTTCCAGCTCGAATGGCGAAATTTCTGCTCGTGACGTGTCGAGAGCGGGAGGCAGCAATGATGTGTGAAGTGGGGTTTTAATTCTGGTTATGCGTTATCAAAGCCGTCCAGAATCAATCCAATTAACCGCTCTTTTCACTCCAATATTCCTAAGAAAATATGAAAGGGTTAAAGTGTTACCAACACTTTTATTGTATTCCTCGCCGAGCGAAATCGGGGGTGGAAAAAAATGGAGTATTGGGTCGAAGAGATAAAAAACTTGCTTTCGGTTCTTTCTTAAAGCGAATTTGCGGTTTGCGGATTATGTAAATACAAAAATGCGGATAGTGCGTTTCGCTTGACAAATTTGTATTAAAGGGTAACCTTATCCACATTTAGTGCCTAAATCAATTAAATGCGAAAGCGCACCATCAAATTCAGGATCTGATAACTGAAACACTCCGAACAACGTCGTTTGACTTCGTTCTTGCAGAAAGTACAAAGACAGCCAAATGGCCTTGTTAAGATTTGAATAAGCCGAGCGAAGTATACGGGAAAAGATAAGAAACCGACATTATTGTAGCGAAGAGAATTAAAGGGAGATGAGTAATTATCCTTCCTTAATGATAATGACCGCGGACGCGCAACAATTGAATGGAACTGTCTTCCACTAACAATCGATTTCTAATTGCCCGTATCTTTAACAAGCTTAAACATTTGCTTTTCTTCGAGCATAAATCCCTATCTTGGTTAGTCGGGTCCGGCGAACGTCGATTTGATTCCTAACATTCCTAACAAAGCAAATACACGTTACGAAAGATTAAACGTCTCAAATGAACACGAGAACAAGCCTTCGACTAAATACCCAAAACAACATTTCATTATTTATAACACACAAAATTTCTTATAACTTTAATAAGAATCTATGAAGTACAATGTACACTTTACAGGCTGAAAATGAAGTAACTTTTTATTTTTATCCTTCGAGAAGTTTTCTATACCTAAAAGGAATGGGAGTTGTGGGTAAAATTTTAGTACACAAGTGTGGTGTTTTAAAACGAGCCGTATAAGAGAATGTAATTTGAATTGAATAGAAATTTTGGACTTACCAACTGTTGTTAGAAGCATGTTGTCCAAAAGGAGGGCGATGGCGACGATGACCAATACGAGGCGGCGCGACTCCCGGCATCTTTGCACCCATCCGCCGAATTTGGTTCCCGACACCCATTCGTTCACCACGGTCATCGTTATTGTTGTAGACGGCGATTATCTGGGGGTATAATTAGATTAATTGAAAACTACATATTGCTATACTAATGGAATTTAAACATTGACACTTTATTAACACGCCCGATGTATAAGTAAGAAACAGGATATCAATGCATCGTCAGAGAGTATCGCAATATCGATACTGAAAAAAATAGATCATCATTACCTGGGTGTTAGGAAATTAATTATGCGCACTTACAGTGCTGTCATGAGGATTAAAAAAATTCTTATTCTTTGTTTGTGTTTATATTTATTGATGAATATTCTGTAGAAGATACTTGAGTTAATTTTACTTTACACAAGTTTTCTTACACAATTTCTCTAAGGACTAAGTAAGTATACAAAGTTTTAAGTTTACATGATATAATACCCTGGGTTGTAATAGGATAGTATACAGGGTGTCCCGCATATGACCGCTACAAAGCGGGGCCCAAAATAGGAACCCAACATTAACTTTATACAAAGTTACATTCCTGAGAAGTTATAGGCTCAATTGATCTATTTTAAAGGGTTCATTAGTGATGATGCTCCCTTAATGTTACAGATTTTTTTAGTTAATGGATTATTTAAAAAATTATTAGTTCATTTTATAGGTAATTTCATTTTAAAACGTTTTTGTTGTTTTTGTTTTTTTAAATTCTTCACCATTTTGATGAAAATCACTAAAAAATAAAGTCTTGAAACTATTACGAATATTACTTACTCGTCGATAATTGAAAAGCTGGCTGTATTAAGTTAAAGTTGGGTTAAACAACGTATTTTAGACTCCTCTTTATACCCCTGCACTGTGTCGGTTATAATGCGGGACACCCTGTATAGAATAGTTAAACAAATTCATACGATTTTACATTTAAGTATAATACCTACAAATTAATAAAAAAATATGTTGAACCATTAAAATCCTACCACATTTCCAATATAACTCATGAGTGTAAAAATCTTACAATATAAAATACACTTTAGTAAATAATTTCCTGAACCTACTCTATTCGTCGAATAAAAAAATTACCGAAATAAAACGGCACCTTCAAAATTTATACTTAAAGTGATTTGCGATCGACATAAAAAAATCTTAACTCCATATAAAACGTTATTATATCCAATAACTGCACCAGCGTGGAAATCGTAAAGCGCCGTACAAACCCCCAGTCGACTTCCCTATGTTCTCCGAAGACAGGATTACATTCATTTCATTTTGATTCGCATTATTGGATTTGGCTCCATGAATACGAACCAGATGTCTTCTTAATGCTCCTATACAGCGAATTTGATCGTCGGGAGTCGCTTTCGTGCATGTCGTTTATAAACAAACTCGCGCCATTTCTATGTAACTTAACAAACTTGATATAAATCAATTACTTTTCCGCTTGACTGGTATACATGTTGTTGATATAAGATTTAATTGACGCTGGCGCGCGAGGACCGCGAGGAACTTTTCAATAGGCATTACTTGATGGACTTTCAGAATAGGTGGGTTAAAACTGGTGTATAAGTCGATTACCGGCTTATTTAAACTGTATAACTAACTTTAATAAGCGGATTTTAGACGTATGTGATACATTTAAAGCTGCATATGCATGTTTTTTAAAGTGTTGTGCGTTTAAAATTTTTAATTAAATCGCTTATATTTTTTCAGCGTATACTGAGGGTAAGTTACTCGCATACGTTAGTGACCCATTCGTTCTCCTCTGGTGAACTATCGATTTCACTTTAGCGTTTGCTAAAACACTTTGAAAAACGAAATTGAAATTTTATCGCAGAGTTTTATTTTGAACGAGATTTAGATTTTTAACACTTTTCATTTCATCACTTGATATAATAGAAGTACCTACTATATTAACTATAAATTTTAACTTCTTTAAAGTGCAAAACTAACACTCTTTTAACATCAATCCGTATCAATTTAGCAGCAATTTCGAATTGACTAATTGTAAGGATTATTGCGATTGAAGACAAAAGCTCGGGATGGAATCCAAAAAGCAATCTGTACAGATATATAATGGTATCATTATCAGGCAATGTCCACCGAAGTGCGAATATCTGGGGAGAAGTAAGTAGTAGTGGCAGTGAGAGCAGGAAATTAAAAGTTCAAACGTCTGTGCATGAAATCCATTTTACGCCATTATAAGAATACAGATCAAAAGAACACGTCAATTCGAACGGCTGCCATAGTCAGAAAGAGAAATTAATTTTATAAGAAGAAAGGATGGACTATTATGGATTCGGAATTTCCTATACCGGAATAAATTATAATTGAAATTTCAACAGGTTTCATTTAAACCGGCGCTTTATTTACGAATATTAAACTATGATAGGTTACCCTCTACTAAATTATATATTTAAACGATGTTATTTCATAATTCTCGAATAAATGAACTAAAATGTATTAATTTTATATGTAAGAAGATAATAAAATGAATTTTCATGTAACAGTTGAAATTCCAATTTTAGTAAATTATAGTAAATTTAATGAAATTGATATATATTCCAGAAATGCAGCAGGGGGATTACGAAAATGATCCCTTTTAATTAGAGAGCAGTTTAAACATTGATTTTTGGGTGGAAAAACACCGCGCAGAGTTATATTAAATATCAATCTCTGACAAACGCGTGTTTACTTAGAAACGAAGCAACTCAAACAGCGCCGGCTCTAACGCTCTTGCCTCTTCTCGATCATCGAAATAGATTAAAATTGCTAATTTTAACCATTTACTATCAATCAATCAGTAACCATCTAAAGCTAAATCTGATTTTACTAGTACTACCTCATAATTGTTAAAACTTTGGCACCTATATGAAATTTATCCTTTAAAAATCAACAACATAATACCGTGAGAAGTAAATATATTAGAGAAGGTACTTTAAATGATGATAGTCTTTGATGTTTTTCCAAATAAGTCAATATATTATAAAACTGTAGAAACGTACCCTGTATTGAAGGAACTATAAGTTTTCTGTCTAGATGTAGGTAAAATATCTATTTCAAAAGCACAAAAATTTTACAGCAGGACAAAAAAGGATAAGCTTAATATTCCAATTTGTCGGAGTATGACAAGAACAATGGGAATGAAATATTGTCGTACGGTATTACTACTCTTCGGAAAGAAATCCTCTTATAATTGAGAAATAAAAATTAAATTGTAGAGTTCTTTCCGGCAAGCTCATTTTAACTAAGGAGTATTATCTTTCTTTCTGAAGGAATTATTATTCCCAAGATGATTTTTTTTGGAAATATCAAATTAGACGTATTGAGGGACTTTGATGCTTAACACTCAAAGTGTAACAAAATTTAAGGGTAAAAATTTTAAAATTAAATGAAAGTTAATTGGTATTAATTTTGAATTTTCTCTCAAGGTACATTTTTTTGCTGGCAACCATTATATACTTAACTGATTTATTAAAAAGCTCACTTAAAGTTTAATTATAAATTTAAAGCTATAAAACCATTAACACTAAATCTTCGATACAACTTTACTTCTTTCCTAAAAGTTCCATTATGAGGCATCATTATTGATTACAGGTTTCAATTGGTTCGTCAAAAAGCTTAAAATATTTGAACTATTTCTAAAACTTATTGATTTCGTTTCTTTTGTAAGCATTCCCGAGAATACTGAAACTTTTGACATCTGAGCCGGGATTTGGTTATCTGGAAACTTCTTTCACTTTTTTAACATTCCCAAGCACTTCTCTGATTTCAGGAGTGAATTTTGAAAGTACCTGCGTATTTTCTTACGATTCAATCCTAATGAAATTTTTTCAATAGAAATAAATTCACTAGTAGGTAAATTAATTATTAATACCCATAGTTACGAAATTCATTAATTCAATATATCCATAATTAAAACTTAGATGTACCTATCTACGAGAAAATTAAAATATTTCAGATACTTACTCTTGAATTCTTGTCTCGTTCGAAAATTTTTGAAAGCTTCTAAAATTAAAACCTTTGCAAACCATCACTAAATCTTCCATCCTTACATAAAAATGGGTAACACACACAGAGATACCGACAAATCCTCGAGGTCGTATATTTCCACGTAGATTCACTCAGTTATGAAATGAGTTATTGCAAGATATGGCGAAGAGAAAACCTCAGTAATAACAATTTATTTGCAGCTTAGAAACTACATATGAATGGAGAAATATCCATATCAGAACGTACTTTTGGGATCCTTTTCAAGTGATTGAAATAACAGACATACGTGAGGAGAATGTGCGCTACAATTGCGCCGTATAAATCAGTTTTTTACACCATTATTTAGTGCGACTTTACGCGATCACTATTTTACACGTTAGAACAACCCAAGAAATATTTTTATACCACTTTATTTTCTATTATATGTATTTACTTAATTAATTATAAAGAAAATACATTTTAAGTTGGTATGGGCTAAATTAATAAATTAAACTCTAAGAAAGTGAAATACCATTAAATCAAAAAGTTTACTTATATAAATAAATATGTTAAATCAGGGTCTAGTAGAATTAAAAATTGTTATTAATTTCTGAGGATATTTTTGAAAATTATATTATATTTACTTTCGTTCCTTTGCAAGTTCCCTTTTAAGGAAAAATAAAAACAAGAAGTAGATCTTCTTAAATTCTCAATTAAACTGCGATTTTTGGATTTTCTCCCCTGCTAAGCAACAATTGTGTACGGCACATTACAAAGGAAACCGAAGAGAAAAATAAAAGAAACAACGACAAAAATCTTTTGACAATCGTCGGTGAATAATGAAAAGTGTTATTTGCACAAATTGACGAATACACCGCACTTTGTTTCTATGAATGTGTAGGGTATTCTAATTTTCTGTTTGTTTGAAAATGCGTATGTGGTATATTACTGAAACAGGAACATATCGCCGGGGGATTTTTCGTTTTGAATGACTTAAAATCTCTTTCATTCCGAAAAAGCTTTATACTTTCTCGCAACAATCGCGAAATCACTAAATAGTTTTGTTAATAAGAATCATTAATAAAACCAACATTCCATTTACAGGAATGAAGAAAAATAGCCAAGTGGCTTAACATTACGACCAGCCGACGCGACGATAGCAATCAAAGTTATTACTTAATTTCCGAATACAAATTATACCGCTCCCCAGACGAAATGGAAAATAAAGAAACATGGATAGTAATTAGTAAAAACCGAATCTTTGAGGCGAGTCCTCCTCGCCATAGAAATGAAATCTAACCGGCACATTAACTAAAACACCTGCACCTGCAACTTTAATGAGAAGTGAATTGGTTTTAACATTTTAGTAAACGGTCTGGCAAAGTGGGCCCGGGCAAATAAAAAAGTGCTGTAAAGGAAGGATCCCTTCTGTAAACGTCATGAATTAGAAAAAATCTGCCGCATAAGTAATTCCGGAAATTTCTTAAAGAGCTTTTCAAGTTTGAAGGAATTTAATTTAAAATCCAAACATTCGTAGAACCAAGATTCATGGTAATAATTGGCAAAGATATTGGTTCTAATAATGGAATTATTATAAAAATTTTGGATTATTTAGCGATATATAAACGCTAAAAAGATGGATAAAAACGATTCACGAAGAATTGATTATTTTGTTGTAATAAATAGACAATAAAAACCAGTATATTAAATAACAAATGAAATATTTTTCATGGGATATTTATAAAATGGGAAAATCGCATTATGTAAATGAATTTTATATTTCCAAAGGGATTCCAATGTCAATTTAGTTTCATTAATGCAACAGCAACATACCGCTCGTTTCACCCCCAGTGACTTTTAGAAAATGTTCATAAACAGGGAGCACTTAATGATACATCCATACAGGGTAGCCGTAACAAATAAACTTCCCCCTATTCGAAAATGCTCGTAAAGTTTTACCTATATGTTTTAAGCCGAAGGGGGAAAATCAACTATTTTCTTGGTGAAAAATCAATTTGAGAGCGGCATTGTATCAACGAAAAATTGATTAAAATTCACTACATGCAATAAAGTACCTATCTCAATTATTGTGGGTTTTATAAATCAATCATATATTACTAGATAATTGGGAAGCAGTATTGGTTAAAACACGCCATATAGCACAAAAATAAATTGTTCAATTAATTAAACACGAATTTATATTGAATTCTGCAGTTGTCACGTTTTGGTATTATTAATTAACATATTTGAATCTTTGTGGACATATTCTAATAAACGAAATATCTCGAAATAATTTTAATTAATCAACTGTATCTGGCAAAATTTAATTAACATGAAGATACACTGAAAATAAGTTTTGCATTCGTTTGTGAACGTGTGGGGGGCACAAAATTATAAAATATCAATATAAAATATAGTATAACGGAACAATTTGCAAAATTGCAAAATTGCAAAAAAATAAAAATTGTAAATAAATTAATGAAAATCGAAATAGAGAAATTGCTTGCATTAAAATAATATTTATTATTTCAGTAAAAGTTTAGTCAGTCTGGTATTATTTAAAACTTATTATTTGGCGCCTATCACTAGTTGGGTATTATATGTTTTAAAAATAATTTCCGTTAGTTTAAACAATTTTACCTTATTTAAAAAATTATAAATTTGCACTCAAAATTATTATTTCAATAAATTCAACAACGAACGTTTTCACACTATATGGGAAAATTATTTTGTAAAATTCCGAAATTTCTAGTGACAATTGTTCCAAAAATACAATAATATTAAATATATGAGATAAATTGAGAGTTTCCCGCCAAAATATCAAAAATATTTAACGTGGTGAACGCAACATTTGGTGAACGTTCAGAGGATACAAACACAAAAGTCGAGCAAACAACGACAGTCCATGCACCGAGAAGTTACTTACTTGGGGGTAGTCCAGAAGCCCCTTCGATGGAGTGTTGGGCCGCTACTGCAGGCCCATCGCTGCCGGCCCAGGCGTCGGCCGCCTCGTCGTGTCCGTCGCCTCTGACTCCCAACAATACTCACGCTTTGCCGTCGTAAATGGGCGCGATTGCGCAAGGATCCGCTCACCACGCGCGGACTGGCTTCACCAGAACTCCGTCCGAGATATCATCCCCGCCGGCCCACTCAAAGACCTGCCATTGGTTGCCATACGCATGCCATTTTACACTTCCACGGCCACTTGTTGAGGATTCGCGTAGGAAAGCTCTCCGATTCTCCGGAGTTATACATTCTAACGCAAGAAAAAGAAAACTTTTGACCTACTGCCTTTATAATACGGTCCCATCCTTCCGTACATATACCTGCCTTGCACATGAGTGGAGGAACCTTGATTGCTAGGAGATTTCATTAAATACTCCCTTAAGGTATTAAGTAGAGCTTCTTAAAAAATCTATTCTATAGGCTTTCCTAAATCAATCTATATCTATACAAGATCTAAAGAGGATCATGTGCAAAGTATTGTTCAATTTTTAGTATGAACCCAATTCAACTCTGATCTCTATTAAAAACTAAGATCATTTGAACTACCCGATTTAAACCATAGTGTGCTTTAATTTAATTAATAAGTTCCTCACCAACTGAACTGAATTGAACCTAGATCAATAGAAATATCAACTGCATCTTGGGTAAGAATTTAGTTAAGTCTTTAGGTCTTTTAATTATTACAATTCCAGTTGAGTTCCAAATATTGAAGGTGTGTTGTACAATTTTAGTTTAAAACTATAGTTTAGTGTTGGATCAGAGTGAACCCAAAAATTATTCGCACTAATTTCTTTGGTTTAATTTTTTAAACTCATCTATGCTCAACTCTGATATCTGTTTAAATTAAGTTATACAATTCACATTAAACTTCCTTTTTCATGAATATTTGCTACACCCTACAATTATTTGGCATTTATATTTATTACGCATGTTGGGCAGTTTTTTCTTGAGAGATAGATCTCAGTTGAACCCCGAATCATTTTTCCTTGCGCAGTAAGCTCCAGCATAAAAAAGCCTAAACAAATCGCAAAACTGAAATCCGATAAGACATTTTCCAGGTATCGTTTATAGAAAACTTGATCTGCATCAATCGAATAAGAAAAAGTTTTTTTTGTCGAGCCAAGGAATTTTCTCTTTTATTGGCTTATTTTTGTTTCGGGCACGTCCATCGTTATCTTCGCAGTTTTACTTACATACTGTCGCAATTCTACTTTCTATTAGTCTCTTCGTTTATCTAACACGTTCTTTAAAATCTCCAACTTTAAATCTTTAGATCTTATCGACTAACAGCAATTAATTTCCTCTGCTAAGTACATTCGCAATGGGTAGGAGAGCGCGAATACTTTAAGAGAAAATCAATCATATATTTGTAGTAAGGGCGAGTATTAAAAATATTTTAGAACGGGAATTCTGAATAATCAATTAGTAATATAAGTGCAGTATATCAACAGGTGTAAGAACTTTAATTGAACCGTCTTCGCAGGCATACCTGCCAATAGAGCCGAAGTCATTTGTAGTCCACGAATGCTTATTGCATGAGGAAATATGCCAAGAATGTCCAGACTGAAGGCGCCTCGATTCAATAAAAGCTCATCTCGCGATGGTTAAGTCGCAGGAATACCCATGGAAAAACCGCCCTTCGCCCTTTCCGCCCCCTTCCGCGCCGGATGAAAACGCGAAAGTATTCCAGTAATATAGTAATTTCACTTCGTGGAACGATGACTGGCGTTCATAAACGCCAGAAAACGACTTATATCTAAAAAAACCGGAATTAAGGTCGATCTTTATTACATAATAGATTTGCCGGATGGAAGTAAATCTCATTTTAACTTACTCATTTCACTAGAATTTAATATGTTTGTACCACTTGTAAACCGGTTAGAATTTATTTCGAATTCACACTAGTCAATTCATTCAGAAATATTAAGGCATTAGCTATTACCTCAAGGTAGTGCATAATACCTTTGTTATCATTTAACATTTTTTACCAAGTATTTTGATCCTGCATATCCTGTTTTCAACGATTTTTTTTGTAATTTGCGTAAATATGCAGCGAAATAGGAACACTCGGTACGTGAGAAATTCCGCGTTGTAATACAAGTAACAATCGTTTGCTAAATGGGCCACGATTTCTACTTGTGAAACGCGAAAACTCCCGTATGAAGGGACACACATGATGGAGTACCCGGATCGGGGGATGATATCAATGTCAGCGACATGGAAAACCACTAAAAATTCCGCCTGCCTTTAAGATGAGAATGAAAAACATCCTAAATTACTTCATTGTTTAAATTGATTGCATTTTTATTGCCTCGTACGTTTTCCAAAATCACATACGTGCTGCGGACACGGTAAATATATTATGCTCGGCGAGAATAGCATATATTATGTGATAAAGAGTAAATTTCGTGGATAATCAGCTTAAAATCAATTATTTTAGATGTACGGATTTATTGTTTTTTCGTAATTATAAAAATTATTTTAAGGCGTATTCGTCAAAAGGAATCCGATATTAATTTAATTCTGCTTATTGCCTCTAAAATATTGTAGGGACATCGTTTTTTGTATTTATTGCATTTGCCGCTTTTGCCTAAAATTTCAGCTTCTTCATACTCCATTAACTTGTCTTCTTTTTTAGAAGTAGATGGACTAAAACAAAGCATGTCTATTATTCTAAAAATATGATTCCCGATATTATAAGTAAGAAAAAAAACCTGGTAAATACAAATCTAGAGACGAAATTCCAGTTGAAAATACAATTTAAAAAATATGATTATGATCCTAAAAGTTAATCAATTTAGTTAATCATAATTGCAAAATTGTTTGCAATATAGCCAATTCTATCAGTTCAAAAAAGAAAGATTATTTATTAATAGTGCTTATTTAAAAAGATTATTATTAAAATAACAGTAGTTAGGACGAGAAAGCTGCAAATCCACAATATTACTCTTTCTTTTTCTTTTACAAGAAACTACAATGGTGAATGAAAGTTGTCTTTGTTACACCCACAGCCTATATTACGAACAATTTTGCATTCTACATGTACACTTCGACAAAAAAGTACACGGAAATTCTGATTTAATCTACCTGCACTTAATATACAGTGCATTTCTTTAATGTCCCCCCCCCCTTTTATTTTTTGAACGGATCAACTTAGAAAATTGAAATTTGGGATAATGAAACTAATGTATGATTACTATATTTTGGAGTAAAATTGACAGATGAAAATTTCAAGATGGCGACTGGGCGCCATCTTGGGAAATAAATTTAAATGGAAAGGGGGGTCTTGTAATACATCATTTTGAAGCTCCTGACAAATACTCTACAACCCTGGAATATAAAGTCAATATCTGCACCCATTTCAAAATGGTGGAACATTTATTAATTACCTGAACATATCGACGTTTAACGTCATAATTTGAGGAAATAAGCTGAGTTTAGTTCAAAAAAGGTCGAAATGGTTGCCTTGAATTTCTTAATGTAAGAACAGCCTAACCCAACATTTTCGAACATAGTAACGTCGATATTTTTACAAATATCTGTAATTATTTCTCGTATATTCAATATTGAAGCAGGTTTAGTTTCGTACACATTTTGCTTCAAATAGCCCCATAAAAAAAAGTCTAAAAGTGTCAAATCTGGCGAGCATCAGGCTGGCCATTCCGTAGGACCTCGACGACCAATCCAACGACCAGGGAAAATAGCATCCAAATAGTTCATTACTTGTCTGGAGTAATGTGGTGGTGCTCCTCCAATGGACGAGAATTGGCCATTTTAGAGTTAGTTCACGTGCTACCTAACTGCAATGAGAACTAAACAACCGAAAACTAAATGAAAATACTTTAAACACTAGGAAAATCGAAAACTAAAGAGAATATTTTGAACACTAGGAAAACCAAAAACAAAATGAGCATATTTTGACTAAACAATTAATGTTCGTTGTCGTACTTAATTTTTTTGGAATTTTTTTAACCAAAAATAACCTGTCAAACCTTATCGGTTTGCTGGGATTGCTGTTTGCCATAGAAAAATGTCTAAAAAAGAAAAATTTCTAGAAAAATTGATATTATTTTGTTTGTATTAAGGTAATTATTAAATATTCCGCCATTTTGAAATGGGTGCAGATATTGACTTTATATTCCAGGGTTGTAGAGTATTTGTCAGGAGCTTCAAAATGATGTATCACAAGACCCCCCTTTCCATTTAAATTTATTTCCCAAGATGGCGCCCAGTCGCCATCTTGAAATTTTCATCTGTCAATTTTACTCCAAAATATAGTATTCATGCATTACTTTCATTATCCCAAATTTCAATTTTCTAAGTTGATCCGTTCAAAAAATAAAAGGGGGGGGGACATTAAAGAAATGCACTGTATATTTTTAACTGTTTCAGGTTTGTGTATGTGGATAACACTGTTCTTAATTAGCATGCAAAAATTGTGAGGGATTTCTCAATCAGTTTGGTTGAAGCAGTTCATCTCAGTAGGGCTCTGCGAATTTTGCAATTGACAAAAATAATGAACACAGAGTTTGTGTCATATTTTAAGCTTTGAACGGAAATTCTAGAGACGAATTGATTTAAATGCTTAAGGTTAAGGTGACACTGTTTTATCGAAAACCCATATTTACGAATGATACAAAACTTTTAAAGACAGTCGGAAGATCGCTAAAGACTTCTCTTGTTCCTGACGGTCTTCGCCATTTCAACCAATGATAATGGCGAGAAAATGAAGGAAATTGTTTTCGAAAAGCATCATGCTAGTTCCTATTATAGAAGTAACACTTAACTTCAACATCTCTCGTGAAACTGCTCGTTTAATTTTACTCAACCAATCGGACATGCTGCGAATTGAGGCTCGACTCATACCAATAGAGCGATATTTAAACAGATTTAGCCTCGTACGAACTTTTTTAGTTTCCCAAACGCAAATTGCCACTTCGGTGATCCCGTTTTAACTCCATAAATGCCATCAATGAAAATTCGCAGAAGGAGCTAAAAAGGGCCTATAAAAATGTTTCGGTGATTGGAAAAGGCGTTTGACTATGTGTATCGGTTCAAAAGGAGCATATTTTAAAGGAGATTTAAGAAAACCTAAATTTTTCGGGTACTTTTTGTCACTGTGTATATCAAATTAATTAATATCAAATAATCAATTTAACCTGATTTAATTTAATCTTTTTTGTTATCAAATGTTTACCAAATTTAACTACTTACCTTAACAGAATATGTAATATATCTCCTAAAACTCCTGTGTTTATGCTAGATATTTCGGACACCTCGCAAATTATTCTCAGCAAACATTTTTTACCTGAGTAACCAAAACTGAAAAATAATAATTATAATTAATTAATCTTATAATTAATGTCACTCTAATAAAAATAAATTAGGCAATAGTAACTTGCAATTCCGTAACTTTATCTTGTATTTACAAGTTAGTATGTAGGTCTTAGTATATATTTTTCCTCTTTTAAAATGAGCTCAAAAAACGTTCATAAATATGAAATTTCTGTTCGGTTAAAAATCAAATATTTGCAGTAACGACATGTTACGTAGCGTTCGTTAATTAGTTGAAAGTATAGAACAAAACACGTGTTGACTCGTTGAATATTAAAAGAGGATAATTATCAAACGGAAAGTAAGCCGGTAACGCAGGATTTCAGAAACTCACTCTTCGATTTTCCTTTTGAGTGCCTCGTAGAAAAAAGTTCTTTCTGCAGATTCTCCTAGAATTGGAGGATACTCGAACTCCGTTTCATTCGTAGGCACCACGTAGTTCCCTTCTATAATACTGGATAATAAAATTTCGCCGGGCGTCGAAGCCTCCACTGGTATTGCAATGGTTACTATTATCTGCAAAATAAATGAAGGACTGAAAACATTCAAATCAATCCGTAAAGAGGTATGGGAAATCAATGTTTTGATGAAAAATGAGTGCTCATTGTTTTACCGGATTTATACAGAGTGTTCCGGGAAAGAGATTTTATCGAGTTCATTATAAGAATACAAATTAGAGTTAACTTACCCCCATAAATGGATCAGATCCACCAGGAAATTGGAAATATGGATTATAAACTGTTACTGTGTATGTTTGATCTCCATGTAGCAAAATTAAAATTACTGCAAATATGCATCTAAAAGTAATAAAAGCTTTAGTAAATACATATAATAGGTTACACAAGTAATTAACTAATATATTTTTTATAGCTAATAATTCATAATACATGTTAGATTGTAATAAAGATGAAGATCTGTTTGTAATAACATTTAACAAATTTCTAAAACTACTGAAAAAACTTACTTTGAGAGCATGTTAATAATGTCGAGGTTATTTCTTGAGACAAATTTATAATTGACTGAAGGAAGAGTGAACACCAAACGGTAGTAGTGGAATAAATGGAATCTCATGCCAGGAAAAATGTATTTGCCTTACTTATCATAAAACAAAACTGTATTTGACCACCAAATGAAGAATACATTATAGAATAAGTAAACAAATAGGTATACGCGCTCGGCGTAACCTTTATCAACAAAGTGAGACAGATTTACCATGTGAATTTACTGTAATGATGAGTATACAATGTGTTAAGAGCTTCTGTAACTAAGTATGTATCATAAAAATACGTCTAGTACCACAAGAATCTGCTTGATCTCGTATTAAGGAATTGTTTCAGGTTGCTTGTAATGCTCGTAAATAACCAACAATTACTCTAAAATCTACAAGTAGATAGGTAATTTCTTAAAGTGTTTTTAGGCGATTCCATCACTGTTTATTTTCCAATTTATATAGGGGACTCTTGTGGCAAATTGCTGTGGATAAATTTCCGCTTGTTGTGTGTATGGCCTCGCGTTCGGCCGCAATGAAGAGCCCACTCGAATGTCAGGTGGTTGTGTCTGCTCTCGTGACGTTAAATTGCACCAATTTGAACTACCAATTTGAACTACAATCATTCCGCGATGAACGAACTGGAAGCGATGAAAAATTTTCCACCGAGTTCTCGTTCTTTTTTTCTATTCGAAAGACGATCGAACTTCTCGAACGATGCTTAATTAACTCTTTTGTCCGGGCCCTTATTGCCCCATTCGCTCGGTCTTAGTCCGACTGGCACACTTTTAAAACCGACAAATAATAAGCCGGAATTCAATGGAATGTCTATACCCTATGAAAAAATTAATCATATCAAGTTAGGGATAATTAGGATTTAAAAATAATGTCGAAGAATGGTATGTAACATAGATAACCATCGGGGTTTTTACTCGCATAACTACACGATCTTCAATATCTTAAAAATGTTATTAATTGATGTAACATTTATATTTTTTAAGTTTATACAGGGTAATAATTCTGTTGTAGTAGTAATAATAGTAATAATTTTATCTACACTATTGGATTTGGATGTGCTAGATTCCAGAACACTGGAGTCAAAATTAGCAAAAGTCCTTGTTTTAAGGCTTGTCATAAGACTTGTCATAAGGCTTGTTATAAGGCTTGTCATAAGGCTTGCCATAAGGCTTGCCATAAGGCTTGTCATAATGCTTGTCATAAGGCTTGTCATAAGGCTTGTCGTAAGGCTTGTCATAAGGCTTGTCATAAGGCTTGTCATAAGGCTTGTCATAAGGCTTGTCATATGGCATAGGCCTAGTATTGTATTAATAGAAATATTGCTTCGCAATTACCGTACTTTATTAACTAATAACACTAACAAATGTTGTTGTGTCCGTCATATCCATCTGAAATACCAGCCCTAAGTCATCCATCTTATTTGCGATGTGATAAATAATACTGTAAACTGTGTTGCATAACACCGAGGTTCATCTTATTTCTACACTGACAGAACTTCAGTTGCCGTACAACATAAGACAGTCAAGGCCTCAAGACAATCTGTCAAAAAAGGAGAAAATAAACTAACCTTAAAATTTTAAAAATGTCATGTTGATTTATCGGTTTGTTTGTACGTTAAAAACTTATTGTAGTGCGTTTGTACGAAAGTGCTTTTAAAACTGTTGATTTCATTGTATTAATTTTAATCAGAATTTTTAAAATTAAGTTCAAAATTAATTTAGGACCGCCGAAATGAATACATCCACTTTTAACCCGAGAATGGATGCCGCTCAAAATCCGGCGCAAAAAATGGAATTGGCGTCCAGGAACGTGGAAAATTCGTTGCTAATCGACAACAATGCTCCGAGATTGATCGATTTTATGAATATTAATCCGCAAAGCGGCTCCACCGCCAGCGGCTTCGCAGACCATGATTATCCAACTTTAAGTGGATTATCGCACATTATCAACAGTATGACCCAAATCAAGTGCGTTAGCAACGTTCCTATACCTTCGGAAATTGTCGACCACTTCGCCCGTATCCTTTTAAAGCATATAGAAAATAAACGGGGCACATAAACTTAGCTCGTCCTCTCAATACTCAGTATCAAATATATTGAAGGTGAGCGATTCATTAGCACGCGATTTTGCTTTCAGTGTGCTCCGTTTGCTTTCAATCGATTGAATGCAGCTATGTAATTTTTTTTATCGAAAGCAATGAGATTTTTCCTTAACAAAGATTAGGTGTGCAATGCCACTGCATGATGGGTTTATTTTCCGAAATAAACAGAGCTTGGTTAACTGTCGATAGTGATATTTACGTTTGGACTTACGAGGAAAATACCGACTTGGCTTATTTCGATGGGATAAGTGAAACAATCGTTTGCGTGGGCCTAGTGAAACCTAAAGCAGGAGTTTTTCACGCTTTTATAAAATACCTCCTGATTTTAGCGACATCCGTTGATATTGTTGTATTAGGTAGGTTTTTATTTACCTAGTACCCCTTTCAGTACAGACCTGAAATACCCCTGTTAATTTAACTTTAGCATTGTGGTACAGCGGTCCTATGGCTCACCCTGAATTCTCGTTCCTTTTCTAGTACACCCCTCCACTTATATGGGTGGTAAAGGAGCGAGAGTTTGGGGTGAGCGATAGGTCCACCGTACATCGTACCACATCTGCACGGAAAGTGTTATTCAGTCACTTTAATAACTAATATTTACAGGGGTTACTTTCACTGAACGACCCGGAGACAACGCTGATGAAATTCAACTCATACCTGATCCTGTATTCATTTTACCTACCGATGGTTCCACCGTCACGATAATCAACAGTACCGATGATGGTAGGATTTTTTACGGCACAAAAGAAGGGAATTTATTCGAAATTGCATATCAAGTAAGTGCGTTTGCAATGCAAAGGGATGCAAATTATTGTATGTATTTTTGAAGGCTGAAAGTGGTTGGTTCGGCAAGAGATGCAAAAAAATTAATTTATCCACCAGCACTTTGTCATTTCTGGTTCCCTCGTTTATTAATGCAGCGTTGAGCGAAGAGGATGGAATAACGCAAATTTCAATTGACGATAGCAGACATATTCTCTATATTCTCACGGAAAAAGGTTCCATAGAAGTTTGCGATCTAGGAGAGAAAGGGAATTCCTTTTCCAGGATTAGTAAAATGTCTCAAAGCACGTTGGTTAACCAAGCGATGAATACTGTTAAGTATGTATCAATCGAACATTCTAGATGGAATTTGAAATTATTATTGCGTTTTCTAGAACCCTCGACAGTAAAAATTTTCGACCGATCGTGAGCATATCCGCCATCGAAACATCAGAATCGGTTAATTTGAATTTGGTAGCCGTGTCTCAAACGGGAGTACGATTTTATATGACTGTTACGAGTTTATCAAACCAAAATCCTAATCAAAGACCGTATACGCTAACCCTAGCTCACGTAAGACTTCCACCCGGTTATTCAGCTAACATTACCGTAAGACCCAGGGCGGTACATGTGTCACAGTATAGGGACAGAAACTTGGTTTTAATATCTACTGTTAACGAAAAAGATGTGTTATGGTGCATGAGCTCAGACTTATTTCCTTTCGGGCAAGGACTGACAGAAGCTTACACGGCTATTAATTTAGATGGACCCGCTCTAGCTATTTCTGAGGTAGTATAACATACAGTGGCCTGTATTCAGCGCCTCTGTTTAACGTTAGGAACTCGACTTTAGACGCGACTTTAGAGTCACTCTAAAGTTAAACAGAGGCGCTGAATATGGGCTAGTATGTCTAAAAAAGTTGGCAACATATGGGAAACTTTTTTATTTGTAATGTTACGAAAAAAAAATATTCTTTATAAAAAGTTCTGCATGGCCAATAAAGTAAAAGGCAAATGTCAGATGTCAATTTTTTAAATCGTATACGACGTTTGTCAAAAATGTTTTAATATGCATTTTTGCTACTTCTTGAAGTACAATTACTGACGTTTTCAATTTTGGATACATTAGTTACAATTACATTTCAATTTTAATGCACACTAACTAGATGGAATGTCTTATTTTTTCTCGAAAGCTTTTACAAGACTGACTTTTGGTGAGAGAAATGTCATTGTCAGAGCCACCTAGATTTTAAATTATTTCATTTATTTTTGTGTATTACCGTAGAAATTACTTTATTCTGTTGGGTATTACTTATTTATTAATGATTTAAGTTCATTGCTAAAATATTTCAAAACAACAAATGAACATTTGAGGTGTGTTGACTTGTTAAATAATATAAAAGTTGACGTGTTTTACAACTAAAATTTGCAAAATTTAATTAGAAATTAAATTGATAAAATATTCCTATTAATCTTTTGCAATTTGTGGACTCCCTGTACATCTAATGTCAAATGTAAATACCTATATATTATTGTTTTTGAAGGCAGAGATTTTCATAAAGAATAACTTTTTCGTAAAACTGACAATAAAAAAGTTTCCCATATGTTGCCAACTTTTTCAGACATACTGTATTTATTGAATATTGTTTAATTGTTTAATAATTTAGGCGAGGAGCGCTAGTCCTCTTCAAATAAAGGATGTACATGAAGCGCCCCCTTTAGTCGTACGGCAACACGCTGAACCACCCAAAAAGTACATTGTGCTCACATCGCATAGCATTCAGATCTTCATTAAGTTAAGACCAGTGGATGTATTGAAGCAAATTTTGAAAGACAGCCACGGGCAAGACACCGAAGCTTTGAAAGCCTTCTTTACTATTCAAAAGGAGGATCAAGCGTGCGCTACCGCTTTGATATTGGCTTCATTGGAGAACGAAGATAACATGGAAATAGCCGAGTTTGCGACCAGAGCTTTCTTCTTGTTCGGAGGCGAACCGAAATTAGCTGCTCCTATGAATACTTGTAAGTTTTTGTCAATTTGTTGTGATTAGACAATAATGTATATTTATTTCAGTTTCGGGACCGTCAGTGTTTTGCCCACCCGTCATGTCTACTCCGAATATACACCAATATCAACAGCAGCAGCAATATCAAACTTCACCGCAATACCAGCCCAACTTTCCGCATGGCATCTCGCCCGCTGCGAATGCATACGAATTGACCAGCCCCTTCGTTTTTTCACCTAAGCACAACGGGCTCTATTTGTATTTAAGCAGAATATTGCGACCTATTTGGCATCGAAGGACAGTGGATAAGCTTTGCTTAGATGGAAAAATTGTCACAGTAAGTGGAACGTGAATATCCTCATTCTCATACATTCTACGCGGGACGTTCCGTTTCAGAATCACAGTACGGTGACCAGCGAAGACTGCATATTTATCTTGAACTACGTGACGTCCTTGCATAATTTCCTGATGCGTAATACTCAGCTTTCGTCGTTGAGCGCCGCTCCCGGTCACAATACTCAAAACTTCAATAATACCACGATGAACGTGACTAGATTGAACCATACCATTCAAGACGTCCAGTTGGAGGAAAGGGCGTCTCTGGATGCTTTGAAAACGTTCGTTTGCCACTGTTGTCAAATATTAGGTAAATAATACGTGATGTTGGTTAATATTTAGAGTGGTTTAAGAGGAGCTTGTGTGTTACCCCGCCGTATTCAGAAGTTTTTTATAATCAAATGGTTTTGTAACCAACGATGATATATTCCAGAATTTTAAACGTGGCAACGTTGCTTATTTGAATCTTAAACTAAACGCTCCAAACTCATTTAAAACCCTCCAGAATCTTTTAAAACTGTCTAGGACCATTTAGAACTCTCCAGACTCATTTAAAACGCTTCAAAATCATTTAGAACTGTCTAGAATAATTTAGAACGCTTCAGAATCATTTAAAACTGTCTAGAACAAGTTAGAAGTCTCCAGACCCACTTAAAACGCTCTAAAATCATTTAAACCCTTCTAAATACTTGGGTTAGACTTGAAACTTTAGTTCGTTTTCAAATTCTTATTTTGAGTTTTTTTTTTGGTAGGTTTATGGAGAATTCTTTGTGAACATCAATTCCACACGTTAATAGCATCTCTACCTGAAACTGAGCAGCAGATATTGCAAAATACGACCTTCAAGGATCTACTTTTATACAGACACGATATCTGTACGTTGTTAATAGCTACATTAGTGGATAGTTATTTAGGCGATAACGCCTCGGTGGATTCGATTAGCAGCAAATTGAGAGAAGTCTGCCCGCTGTTTTATAAAACCGAAGATGCTGCATTTTCAAAAGTAATTTACGCTTATTTTTTTTATGTAGTATGGTTAATTTAAAATTGATCTGTTCGTAGGCCGTGGAAATATTAAAGATGACGCGGGCGATTCAAAACAACGACGAAAAGGAGGAAATGATCCAATCGGCCCTGCAGATTTGCAAATCAATCGGGCCCACTATCAATATCACCGATATATGCAAGGAATTCGCTAATCTCAAAGCGTACAAAGCTGTTACGGAATTGTGCGCGCATTTCGGTAAGAAAATAGATCCCGATAAAATAGCGGAGAGTTACTACAACGCCGAAGATAACAGCGGTGACCAAGAGGGGTACAATTATTATCAAAGACGGTAATTTGTGAATATAATCGTATGAAGATTTGGTTAAATCTGCTTTGTTTTAGGTTGGAAATTTATCGTCACATATTAAACATGTTGGATCAATTATACAACGAACAAAATCAAACGCAAGTCATTAGTAGAGATTCCGCGTACTCGGTTAATCAGACCATATTGCTCGATGGTGTCGAACAATCCCAAGTAGGATACGTGGTAAATATAACATATTTTTGGTGCCGGTATAGTATGCGGTCTACCCAAATTTATTTTATACAAAGCATAACAGCAAGATTTAAAAAATTGACCCTTCATTAAACATAAGAAAAAATGTTTTTGGTACTATTTATAGAACAGCTTGTGGGTAAATCATTTTAAAGAGAATTACGGAAGTATCAGAATTATACAGGGTGAGTTTTTTTTTCTATGTTTAGTACAGGGAACTCGTTAACTGTTGGAGATAAAGTGCAGTTTTGTGAGACATGTCGATACTTCAGAATGTGAATATTTGGGCGATTCTAAGAAGAAAAGTTTATATCAATACATATATGTCCTAAAGTTTTGGAGCTACAGGGTGTTAGGGAGCTTCAGTTTTAGAAAAAAAATAACTTTTCTAAATTAATTTTCTTATTACATACTCCAGATATGTGTATGAAATTTAGGACTTGGGCGTCACTGGTAATAGTAGAAAATTAATTTTTGTCCCAAAAAATGTTTCCATGCATGGTGGGCGCCTACCAAATTTCAACAAATTATCTAAAGCAGTCTCAATGAACTTGGGAAAATAATTTTTTAGTTTTTATTTTTTTATGCAAAAATTGTGCGTCTTACGAAAGTAAGTCTTCAGACCGAATTTGCTCCAAAATAGATTAGGATTAAAAAAATGAGTTTTAGAAAAAGCAGTGGCCAGTATTCTAAGTACCATTTTTTCTTCAAACATATTCATAACATATTTTAAATTAAAAAGTGTGTGCAAAATATAATAAAAATATCTGGAGTAATAAGAAAATTATGATAGAAAAGTTTTTTTTTCTAACATTGTAACACCCTGTAGCTCTAAAAGTGAGAGAACTTTTCTTCTTAAAATCATCCAAATATTCACATCCTGAAGTATCGGCACTCAATTAACACCCTGTATACTTGAGCTATGAAATATGTAGGTAGACCGGCACCCTATTTTCCAACAAAAGCTTTCGAAATTCAATCTGTTTCCTTTCAAGATGAAGCAAGTAATAAAAGACGTCATGGAAACGCCCGACGAAATCATGCATTTCGCACTTTACGATTGGCTGGTGTTCAAAAATATGACTGGAGATTTGATAAACATCCAAAATCCCTCGCTGGAAACGTATTTGAAGCGAACGTCCACCCAGAATCCCAACAACATCGAGACCATGAATTTGTTGTGGAAATACTACGAAAGTTGCAACAATCACGCGGCTGCTGCGAAAATATTGAACAACCTCGCCTCGAGAACTGGGTGAGTGTCTTTCTAATCGAATCCTATGTATTTGAGTTCCATAGAGAAAACAGTGGTAATTTAATTGCAGTACAAACGTTCCGTTGAAAGAGAGACTGTCTTACCTAGCGAGGGCTATCATGTGCATGCGAAGCGATAAAATCGGTTACGCGCCCTATCTGGGTGTATTTTTGAGAGATCTTGAAGATAAAATGGAGGTAGCGAAGGTGCAGGAACAAATTTTGGATGCTATCGTAAATTTGCAAGGACAAATACCTAACGCTCAGGAAGCAATAAGTGCACTTAATTCCGGATTGTACGAAATTTCTCAGGTATAAACGATATTATTTCATTTATTTATACGTTACGGTGCATTTCAGTTTGCAATATAGTGGTTTCTACGAGTTGAAGATCGAATAATTATTAAAATAACAGTTGTTAAAGCTCGTACTTTTTAAAATTACAATGATGTCATTTTTAGTAATTTCCACGAAGTTCAAAATTTCCCTAGTGCCAATTCTGCCATCTAACGAGAATGTTTCTGGAACGTTCTAAATGATTCTAGACAATTCTAAATGCATTCTAGAGCGTTCTGGATTGATCCAGATAGTTCTAAATGATTCTAGACAGTTCTGAATGGTTCTGGCGCGTTCTATATGATTATAGACAGTTCCTCCTTTGTCCTAGTTTATATTCTATTTCTTTTTTTTTTTCCTGTTTCAAATTTACAAGTAGTTTAGATACCCTGCAACATTGCAACATGCTGGCCCGTGATGTCATTGTCATTTTAAAACGTACGAACTTTAGACTGAAGGATTCCAATCACTTTCTTTTTCCTATACATATAAGTGTCTAATGGAAGTTGTCTTTATCGCACCAATAGCCTATTGTAACCTATATTGCAAACTAAAATGAATCAATCGGTGTATTAAATCTATCGTTCTTTTAGTTGTATGAAAATTTCGCTGAGCCTTTCAAACTATTAGAATGCCAATTGGCAATCATAGAATGCGCCGGATACACCGATCAAGTATTGATCGAGTCCATTTGGCAGCAAATTTTGACTGAAGAACTGAGGAAGACCTACGGAACAGGGACAGATAAAGTCTGTCAGCTTTTGAACAAAGTGAAGCAGCTCTCGAAGCAATACGCTCAATCTGCAAACTGTTTTCCCTTGAGTAAGTATTTGTACATCAATATATACGGAGTGTTCCGCATAAGAACCCTGTATATTATTGTTTGTAACAATTTTTTGTCTGTGATGATATATTAACGAACAGATACTTATATTTCTATTATCTGATAGATATGTTCCATGATTAACTTTATACTATATTATATTTCTTACTCATCTAGTTTAAGTCTGAGACAAATAAAAAAACTGGGGACACATCGTATAGGTATATTTGTAGGGAGTAAAGAAGTAATTTAATTTAAATTGTAATATTTATCTTATTTTAAGGTTACATTGTTTATGAATTGGAAATCGTGAATGCAAAACTTCGAGGAGACAAACAACTCGTTCCTTGTGCCTTGGAAAGTATGAATATTCCTTTCGAAAATTTAATCAACGTTTACAATAGGTAATTATGGTAACCCATTAGCTTAGTGCGGTTGATTTATTTATATGTTTTTAGTTTAAATACGATTTCCATAAACGATCACTTTTGGCAATTAGAGGAGAACGAATTTCATCTTTCTGAAGCTACTGCTGCGTTAATAAATTGCTTCCTGGGCCATCTTGAACAGTACAGCAGTGTTGAGAAGTAAGTTTTTTTATTTTAAAGCATTTTATAGGTTTTACATATATTTTTTTAGACGAAAAATAACTTCGCTCTGTCAAGACGCAGTGGTTGCTTTACTATCCAACTTGTATAGCAAGCCCAACACCGAGGTATTGGTTAATAAGTTGAGAAATATACAAGCCAAGTTGTCGAGAATTTAGAAAATTTACTGCCACTTTGTAATTTTATAATTCATTAATAATAATTGTATACTAAGTTAATTCTTTTTTCTTCTGGACTGGATTATTGTTCAATATCCAGTTATTAAAGAACATTTTTGGGCGTTTCTAGATAGAATTAGAACTTTCAGTTAGTTGATACATTTTTATACCAGTTTCAATAACTATACTAAAAGATCTGTTCCAAATACCAACAAAGCCAATGAAAATTCCATTAATTAGTTTTGTGGAACAAACTTAAGTAGTAAAATAGAATTGGCCAACCTCAATTTTGGAGAAGGCATTAAAGTGGATTGGTATTATAATGTGGATGAAATAAGGAGATTCTGAGGTTGACAACAAGGAATAAATAAGAAGTAAATATAAAATATTATATTACATATATACCAATTATCTAATAGTTCCAATGCTTGAAGTAATTCGATGAACAAAAAGACAACAGAATTTCACCATATTAATTTAATTAGTTCTAATCTTACACAATATACCTGGACAATTTCTGTGTGTGTAAATGTGTTTTCTCGGAACACAAACAACATACAGTGTGATGTTTTTAAACTACTGTACAAAATGAGCTGCCATTCAAAACCTGTCACATTCATTCTGTAGAGGTACATATGGTGGCGGTTCCAAAAGAAACCATTCTTTAAATTGCACTATTTTGGGTGCAAATAGAGGACGACCCCTGCTTGTAGTGTCAACACTAAAATACAAGTCCCTATTAGTCCATTTTAGCATTGCCATCACAATCAAGTATCAATTCTGATTAATATTATCACTCTTAGCACACTGTCTTTTATCTCACTCCTAAAATCTTCTTGCACTTTTAAAATTTTTCTTATAGAAAAAAATTAATTTATGTATAAAACAAATTAACGTCACTGGCTATTTTCGATTTTATACTTCAAGTATTTTTTGTCCATAAAATTTACAAATATTCTCGTAAAATCATTTTTACATCAATTTACGATTTCATTTAAAAGCTATTTACATTTAAAAATCTATAAAATGAAAACATAATAAAAAAACGAAACATTTGGGGTAATATTTTTATAAAAGGTTCAAATTTAAAATAATGAATTTCACATCACTGCAAGGGTAAGTTAAAAGTGAATACAAAAAAATATTTGAGCTCCTTCTCGTTTTAATAACTCCTCTTTATTGAAAATTTATTAAACTTTAAAAAAATCATTCTTAGAAGTTATAAATAACTTTTTAAAAATATTTTTATAAATAAATAAATTTTTAACAAAATTGGTGTTCATTTCTAAAAAATATCCCCATATAATCGGGATTAAATTTCTAAGTATATTTCGAGCAGAAAGCAAAAGTTGTGTTAAAGATAATAATTTATTAGGAATGTATTACATATTTTATCCAGCTAAAATTTAAATATTTTTTCACGTCTATTGACATGTAGGATAATAAAAAAGAAGCACCGAATACCATTATACAGACCTGAATTCGATAAACCTGCAATTATTATCAATATCGATAACTTGCTGTTAAAAGTATTCTAACAAACATAAAAAATAAACCAGTTAATTTGTTGTCGTTACAAACATATTAACATCCAGAGGTATTTTACGATATCTCATAAAATCCTCCTGTAATAGCAATTAGTATATTAAAGAAACAGGTGCAATTATTAACACTATCTAATGCATGATTAATTCGTAAAGACAAAAAATAATTTGTTAGTTGTAAATCTACATAATCTCATGTGATGCTAACACTAAATTTATTTCAACACGTTGAATGTCCGGCTAATTATACATGAGCTGTTAATTTTACGACTTTTGGATTATTTACTACTGGTGATTTCTTTGCAAAGGTCAGCAGTGGCTCCCGAAGCACGTCAAACAAATTCAGCGCTAGCCACTGATGACCCGCATATGGCACTGAACGTGTTTAAAATAACCGAGTGCGAAAAATCTAAACAGTTTAAAATACATTTTTAAAAACATAGAGTACACAGTACAATACGCGATAGAGATTTTGCTTAATATTCGTAAAATGTAACGACAAAAAAATCAATAATAGTTGAGATAACTGACAATTGCTTTAAATGACTAGAAAGTTATGTGATATAACATGTAAAACTGAAATAATCAGTCGATAATCGCCTTACCCCCCACACATTTCAAACTTCGCTCCGTGAAATGAAATGAAACACCACTTTCATTAAAAACTTTTCGAGTGAAACGTTCGTCTTGAGAAATAGCCCAATTTGAAATATTTACTAATTATAATTTCGAAGCCATATAGTAAAAATTCGTAGAAAATAAACTTTCTACTCGAAAGAAACGTTTAGTAAATAAACAGGCTAAAAAGTTCGATAAAAAAATCAAAATTTTAAAAAGTCAATTTACATTGTCTATATAAAAACCAATTTTTTTCCAAATACTTGAAGTACATTAAAAATACTGACTCGGAGATTCTACAGTTTATAATATGAACTATTATCACTGGCTCACTGCCGGGGATTTTTTATCTGAGTCCTGATTGGACGGGGTATTCCCCTGCGAGGCGTTCACCCCCGGTCCTCCCCGGTCCCCCACTCCAGCTCCCCACGAATTGGATCCTGGCATAGGTGAGTCAGCGTGGAAGCCATGGTTGTCATGGTCTAGAGAATTGGCGGCGTCGTATTGGGTGTTCTCCAGCCTGGTGATGAGCCGCTCGTCCTCATCGCCGAATTCGCCGCCCATCAGCGACGGCTCCCCCACGACCATCACGTCCTGAAACACAACTCGCCCCAAATCAGACAAACGGTACATCGATTTAGCAAATCACTCCGTACCTGCGAAGCTAGGGAAAAATTAGGCCCTGGAGATCTCTTCTTGTTTGGCGCCGGCGTCACGTTGTTGGCTGCTCCTCCCGAGTTGGATCCTTTCCGTTTTCGACGCTTGTTCGCCGGCCTCTGGGATTCTGTACGAACACATTCGATATACATTTAAGCAAAGGTATTTAGGTCGCATTTTCGTCACGTGCATTCCCTAGGTTTGTCAGGATTTTTTTCATTTTTGCTATACACAAATCCGTTTCACATTATTATTCGTTCTAATTTAATAAAGTATAGACGACTCGCGGTAACAACATTTTATATAAAATCGATTTGTTCAAAGGGGTTCAAATGGGTCAAAGTTTAAATGGGTATTTTAATCCTATAGGTAAATTGGGCACAAGAATATTTCAGGTAGAAAGGGAAGTTGTTTGAATTCATTGCAAATTTTAAAAGAAATCGAAAAAATTTGGTGTCGTTTTAAAAAGCAGTAGGTACAAATTTAATATGAACAAATTTACATTCTAAAGCGTGGTAGATTGTAGTAGAATAAAGCAGAGCAGAGCTGAGCAGACTATAGCAGAATAGAGTAGACTAGATTATAGATAGGATAGAGAAGAGGAGAGCAGAGTAGAGCCGAGTATAGCAAAATAGGCTAGACTAGAGTAGAGCAGACTAGAGTATAGCAAAATAGGCTAGACTAGAACAAAGTAGACTAGAGTCTAGCAAAATAGAGTAAAATAGAGTAGATCAGAATGGACGCTTGCAAAATAGAGTAGACAGAGTATATCAGACTAGAATAGAGCAGAGCAGACTAGAGAATAGATTAGACAAAATAGATACAGTTGAGCACATGGCGAATTCTAATTTTTATAATTATATATTGAAAGAGAATGGTCATTTTTCCGATGATTCTGCGCACAATTTACCTACAAGATTAAAATCTATAATCCCTCTTGCGTCCAATTTACATCAGTCCCTTAAAATTATGTAAGAAGAGTGATTCAATTAGAAAACAGCGAATTAAATAGTTGATATTATTATGTAATTTTTGCAAAACAAAACGATGATAATAATGTATTTTAATTGAAACGTTATTAAAAAAAGAACATTGTTAAGCCAATGCAAGAACAGAAACGGTAAAGCAAGAATGAATAATCCTATAGTGCAATAAAATTGGTACCTCTCTTACCCGGCGGCGCAACCATCCTTTGCCATTTCTGAAACAACGTTGTTTTCAGGCAGTCCCTGGGACTCAAAGCGTATGCCTTATGTCTCGACATAAGTTCCTGCATAGGTTCTAATATCACACATAACTAAAAAAGAAAAACGAATCAAATTATCAACTAATCTTCCAGCTTAAAGTGCACTTAAAGAGAAAATTTTACTTTATTTTGCTCTAAAAATCGGCTCGAGCTTTGAGCTTCGAGCTGTTAATGTCGTGCAAGCTTACCCTCAAGTAATTAAGCGTAGAATTGGTGATGCCTTGTCTTGTAATGTTTTTCGACAATTGGTCCAACATGCTCGGATCTTGTTGGGAATGCATACCGACCACCGTTCGCGGGATTAGCTCTCGATGTGTCCGAACGGCGAAATGCCACGATTTTATCCTCATTAAATCATCAAAAGTAAATTCTAGAATTAAGCGGCCCTCTGTACACACCTAAAAACACAACGTTAGTAAAATCCGAGCCTTTGGAAACGTCATTTGATTAAAGCGAATTAATACTAAAAACAATATTTACTGAATGAATTTATCAAAAGTATGGAGATTATAGTAAAATAATATCATTGAGATAAGTTAACAAAAAGCGACTTACCTTGGTAAACAAAGGTTTACCATGGTGTGTTATCATAGTGCACTGATCACAGTCCAGAGTAATACTAGTATTGTGGAAGGACTCCTTAGGGTGTTTCATATTATAATACAATTCAGTCACTCCACCTTCGAATATGCTCCTAAAGTACCTTGGAATTAACGTCCTTCCGATCGCTGAAAATTCGCCGGTTTATATAAATTGTAGCCATTGTAAAAAATGAAAGAACGAGACAATTTTCGTTCGAGACAATTCCCCACACTTACTATATCGTTTGGGGCCATCTTCTAAACAAAAGGCTAACGTTAGAGATGCATCGTCTTCGAAAAACTCCGTCGCAAATGCATCCCACCAAAGGTTATCGCTATCCTAAAAAATGGAAGGAGCACGATAAAATAAAGCATAAAATGACGATGTTATTGGAAACGATCAATTACAAATTAATAATTAATTGACTGATTAGTAATATGTAAACTGTTTGGTCTGACACGATAATTTCTTTAATAAAATTCGGTTTATTTATTTCCAAACAAAAAGTGACCAAAATCATTAAATAAGGAGCTATATGAGTAATTCTTATTTCTCAAAATTCAAAAAATTTACCGGACTATCCGCCTATTTTTTTTATTCTTCAACTTCAAATATTTTATTTTTTGTTTGTAACACAAGTCTTGAGTTATCAGTTACATTTCCTTTAGACAACTCAATTTCATGCTATATTGCAACGAGAATACCTCCACTAAATATCTTAAAGCCCCAAAAACTTACAATATCCTCTTACAAGTTTGAGTAAACTAGGTCAACTTGCAGTCTAGACCTACTCGCTTAGGTATTCAATAATTCATAGCATTATTACAAAACTACAACAATTAAAATGTACATCGTACGATGCAAAAAACTCTTACTTTTAAATTAAACGCGCTATATTATAGAGAAAATACTCACTACCTCAGTTCGCTGTTGGAGCCTCTTGTTAAGTTCGTAGATCCGATAGTCAGGTTGACCAAAATAAGGGGTGTGCCGCCTTGGAACAGGAAGAGACCTGGAACCAAAAATTTATCGATTACAAAAAGTCCTTTGGATTCCCAATAAAAATATTCCTACAATAACTCCTCTGCGATATCGCCGTTGGAGTTCCGGCTCCGTTCTTACCTGTAATAGGTACTCCCTAACGGGGGGCAATAGAGAAAATCATTATGGAGATGCGGTAGCATAGGGCATCCCTGGTTCCCGGAGATGCCTCTTCGTACGTTCGCGAGAGGATGGGAGCTCGGGGCTCCCACCAACGGTTGATTGCCGTTGCAAATCGTGCTTGTTTCTGCTTTAGGTGGTGCGAAATGCGTAATGGTCATCGGTCGAATAAATTGGCAGAGTTATTGCTTTAATATCATATTGCGAATATGCTAATTGCGAGGTGCATGATTGTTAATTAGAAAGGGCTTGAGAACTTTAATTTTAAGCAGGTTTGTCATTTTTAACACAACACTCGGTTTTTAACACTTTTTTTACGGTCGACATTTCATACAATATAGTTTTATCATCAGCCGTTGATTAAAAACTCACTATCTCCTGATACTGGTTCGATAGAGATAAAAATTGGGTTAGCGACTCAACGAATTGATTGCCTAATTTTATTATATCGCGGAATTTCGGCAACACATTGAATCGAAAAAAAAAAACTCAATTCGGAAAACTGCTATTAAAGGGATAAAGGTACTTAATAAAACGGTTTGTTTACTCAATTAACATTTCGATACGTTTTCAATAAAGCACTCTAAAATCAAACGCCAAATCAATAATATAGCTGTTATAAATCAAGATTTTTTTAATAGTAACAATGAAAAGTTAACAACTCCTAAGTAGCCCGTGTAATTACACTTGAAAGTGCGCATTCAACAAGTTGCTCGTTCCGTCAATTTAATTATAGGTATTTGAATCTCGAATCGGTATTACTTCAATGATTTAGTACGTTCGATAAACGTCTGGTACGATTTGCGTGCTTTTTATTACCAAACTTACGCAGAAGCGAGTCACGAATTGTTCTCACAAAAATTCTTAAGAGCGCAAAAAATGACGAGTCAGTTGCGATCACAGCGGCCGCGGAAAAATTCACCTCCGACGTTGGGAAATGAAAATCGCGCGGCTGGTGTTCGACGGGGGAATTCGGGATATGTGCCAATACGGGTCAGTGTAATACAACGCACGTAACATACGAAGACGTTGGAGACGGCGGCGGTGGCGGCGAGAACGTACGGGGCATCACCTCCGACGCCGACATCCACCACAGTACACTGGGATATACTGAATCGAATGTCAACTCGCACATCTAACCAATGCGGCGTTGACATATTTCCACGTGTGGATGTACCGCACAAAACCGATAATTCAAAATACTTCCGTGTGGATTACTGATATTTGTAATCAATCATTCCACAAGGGATGCCGAAAATGTTTAGAGTCAAGCGTTGTTTATAAATAACTCAAGTCAAGTATTAAGGGGTGAAAATGAAGCTTCACAGCAAAAATATTAATAGGTAAAGAGGCAGAAGTGGAGTTTAAGTTTTTATCTTTTTAATGACATTGTGATAAAATTTTGTATCTTTATGAAAACACTGCATTTCCACATTTGCTACTTTGTATCAGCTTAATAAGGATAATACACTGTACAGTGCAAAGGTTCATTTTTTAATATTCAAGCTTCAGTTGTATCTCGAAAAAATTGTGTTTTTGTACTTTTTGCGGGGCTACAAATCGGTCTAAATTTCAAAGTGCAAAGTTGATTAATAGAATATTTCCGATAAGTCCTCTAACGTTGTTTACTATATTATATTTTAATTGATTTATGGATTAAATAAAAGTGAGTAATAAATGAACTGAAAAAAAGGAACGCACTTAATTTGTTATAGTTAAGTGAAAAAGAAAAAACCATTTACGCACATATCAATTAAATAGTGGTTTTTAATCTCTCAATTTAACATTTACAGCGAATTTGATAACCTTTCAATGAGATTAATCGCGTTTCGTTGAAAAGTTTAGTCATAAAAAGATATTAATTTATTCATAACGAATAGCAGTAGGTGATGAATAAAAAAATAAAAAAATAGAAATCCTAAAGCGATCATTACTTATTACTTCACTTTAATTGGCCCACATAAATCCAACCCCTCGCAAGATCATCGTTTTATCAACAAAATCTAAGTTATGATAATATAATTCGGGGAAAACTTGGCCCACTTGGCAACAGCTATAACCTATTTGCGGAGCGTTGTGTATTTGTGCACTATGTGTATGAACTCCGTGACGCATCAAATGCGTAGGAGTTCCCAAACTCCACGCTCCACGGAAAACTTAATACACATTCTGAACTAGCACGCGCCAATTAAAAATGTGGGTTGCGGCTATAAAAACTTTTTTCGCCGTGCCGTCCGCCGAGGTAACGAGAATTTTATCTAACAAATGTAGAGCCAATTATAAACATCATGTGTCCTATATTCATTTCCTCGTGAATTCTTCTACTGAATAACTCTTAAAGTTTGGTTTAACTATATTTGTTTTCGTTAAATTAGTTGGTAACTTATAGAGACAGGAATAAAATAAATTTATCCAATTTAGAAAATAAGTAATTGAGGCAATGCATTAAAAAAATTGTATTTTGTTAATCATGTATACGATCACATATTATTACCATTAAGAAGCCGCAGAAACCTCATAAAATTAATAGGCATTCACTCAAAGCATTCCACTCAACTCTTTTACTCTTTGCGGGCACCTCATGCAGTAAATCTAGATCCGGCGTGCCTTTGCTCAATTAATATTTTTTACTGTCGAAATCCCCAGCTTTTTTTCGCTAAACACACGTTACTCGCAAATGAATGGCATTATTAGAAGTTTTTTTCGAAGGAGCCAAAGCGCGGAATGAACCGCAAGCGCAGCCATCGAAATATTAGCAAAGTAATGACTGCTTCGTTATTTCTATATTTCTAACGTTGTGAATTTGAATTATAGAGGAAGTTCTTCGGCCGTCATACGGAATGAGATTTATGAATGTTTTCACAGTCCAAGGACACATCGATATGCCTCAGAGGTTAGTGACTTACTCGATTATTGACGGTTGACCGACGATAGTTATCTAACTACAACTCTAGAAGCTTGTACTTAGATTTTATAAGTATGTTATGTAGAATTATGTAGGTATGCAAGAAATAAAATTGGTAATCCAATTGCTTAGGTTTTCAGTGCCAACTTGACCTTTAGAATTTTTGTTGGAAGAATTTAGATATCCTTCGGTTACTTTTTTTTATTGATTTTAGATAACTCTAAGTATCGTATTTTTATCTATTAAATCATATGTGAGTAAGTTCAAATTTGTTTGCACTATAGTCAATTCTGAGTTGAACAAAGAAAGATTTTAAAATAACAGTGATTAGAGTAAGGAACTTGCAATCCCACAATATCACTCTTTCTTTTTCTTTCATATAAGATTAATGAAAAATGTCTTTATTGCACACATAGCTCAAATTGCGTACAATATTGCACATAACTGTATATTATTTTAAATCTATAACCAAAGTATTAAATGTTTGGAAAGGTAACATTCATCAAATATAGACGACACGAGTCGTTCGACCTATTGAAAAGTGTTAATTTTAGCACATATGTGCTGTTCACGAATTTTGTGTACATTTAAAATTAGTTCTAATAAACTTTAAATTAAAATAGACTCACAAACATTCTAAACAATCTTGCTAACATGAACTAAGAACATTATTTTTAACGAATTCATGTCTACCTCTTGATTTATTCAGCAAAATAATGCTTTTTGGTAACAAATCGAATAAAAATAACATTTCTCACATTGTCGTGTAATTTATTTAGCGGATATCACTGAATAATTCAAGTTGCATTACCTATTGTGTCACCTTTTTTTCAAATCTTCAGTTTTTTGCGACGATTCAATCCTAACGTGTACGCACGTCACGATGCAATGCCTAATAAAATGCCGGTTAATTTGTTACTGTTACTACTATACATCGGAAATGAAGAAAGTCGATGCCTGTCCGGCTCGTAATTTATTTCTTCATTCGTCGCAAAACCTTAATGAATCGATTGATTTAAACGACGCCGTTGGATGCCAACAAAAAAAGCCTGATGGCTATTTTAAAAAAGGCGATGGCCACTCCGAGAATAATCCAGTAAAATTAGATTAGCGGTGAATGAATTATAAAACTTTAGCGGAAGTCGGACGGTGGCGAATTTGTCGCAGCCCACTTAAGAATTTAAATGTCTAAAATAATGGTTAAATCATGTAAATTTCGATGGGAATAAGTTTGAGTTCAATTTCAAAGAATTTTCTAAGTAATAAGTCGAGTAATACTTTACGAATTTTAAATACGTAGTCGGAATTAAGGTTGTAGAGAATATAAGAAAATATTCCGGTTCTGTGTTTGGTTACGATAAAAACAGTGTGATCGACCGTTCTGGCCAGCGCACACGGTGTAACTCGCCTTTTACGTTGGAGGTTGGGTTGGGAGGTAAAACCTCAAGCATTAAAAAACAACGATATACGAATTTGTCAAGGACATGACTGGGAAACTAGACGGTATAAATTACAGCGTCTCTTCCATTGAATTTTTATAGCTGTTACGTTTCCTAGTTCGCATAAAGTTGATCCGTAAGTTATGGATAATGAACAATCTCTGGATTTTTACATACGTTTAGAAATTAAAACAAATAACTCGAATTTATCTGGAAGAAAATAATTTTAACAAAACCGTAACCTACTTAAAACAAAAACAATTTTCGGTTTCCACGTTACGGTTTTATCAATCCACATGTCTGTTACGTTATCGGAAGTACTAAATTAATACAGGAAACCTTTTATCACGATAACTCCAATTTTTTTCGAGAAAACAATGCCTAGGACTGTAATCGATTTTTTCGGACGAAATATCTTTTGCGTGTGTCTAATTTTTCCAAATTTTCGCGGTTTTATTCGCATTAGCGTTGACGATAAAATTTATGAAAAGCGGCCAAAAATTTGCGAGAGACGATAAATTATTGAAATACAATTGTTTGCTAACAGACGGTTAAGTATGTGCAAGTAGTTTTCAAAGTTCCAAACTAACTTGAAAAGTAGGTGGAGGCGCTGACCTGAGTGAAACCATTTATTCTTGTTCTCAAATCACCAGCGGCGTAACTTCAAATAATATACCTAACGTATCTATTTATGATACCTATACGACTGATTAATGAAGTATAGAAAAACTGGCAATAAGTGCTATAGTTCAATTATTATGCGATTTTATACATAATGAGGCGGTCAGAGCTAAAATAGATCAAGTCCATCAATTACATAATAAGACGTCTGGAGTTAAAATGAATTACAGTTATGAGATAATCAAGGTTCAAGATAATTAACAAAATTTCAATTCTTAAGTTATTTATAGAGTAATTTCTCACTTCGTTCACTCAGGCTCTGGAAATAATAACTAAGTATTAATTCGCAACTAAATGGATTAATTCCATTTTATATTCGAATGGTTTATTTCGAAATTTTGTTTACTGGAATTTAAATAATCGAATATTAATGAGAATCAGGATATCTGCATAGCTCGAAGCCTCCTATCTCCCCTTGCAAATCAATAAAAACCTCATTAAATTTGGACATAATTATATCAATCCATATTTGTAGGTACTTGGAAAATAATTACTGACTGATTAATAACGAACTTTATTAGCCTACCAAATTTTACAAGTATTAGTTTTAGCCAGACGAATTTCCATAATTCTCGTTACTTTATCAAGGACATCAAGGTTGGCCTCAATTTGAGCAGGCGCATATATTTATGTATTTATTTCTATTTGTGCAACTAATGCGAATATACCTTGAAAATATCATAAACTTATTATTCGACATAAAATTTAGAGATAATAAAATATTTAAAAATTTTCCGATAACAACTATATGACTTGTAGCACAATTCGTGCGAATGAGTGATACAATAAATTTATATTGCGCCTTTTGAAGTTTTAGAAAACGTGGTAAAATCAATTTGATTCCTAATAGCATGTATTTCTAAGTTAATTAACCTACAAAAATGTTGAGGGGTAGTAATTAAAAAAATAGAAACATCATCGAATGATAGACAATAAAATCAGAAGCGCTAATATTGAATGAAAACAAGCCAGATTTATTTCTACTTTTATTTGATTTTACGCGCGGTTCAATATTGGGATTATCTAATATAAATGTTTATTATGGCATATTTCCTGTTAAGTTTAAACGCGATGTTAATATTGAAGATTAGTGATTTAAA